AAGTCTAATTTCGTCTTCTCTACCTTGTTGCAAGACAGCTGCTTGTTATTCGCTACCGGATTTATTTATTCAAGAATAAAATCAGCTCAAAATTCTTACATATTCGATAAATCCGGTCAACAGATACTAAAAGAACACACGTAAACATCAGATCAAAACAAAGCTCCGACAATCGGCTTAACCGAAAAAAATATTTTCCTTGCGAAACTCCGACTGAGCGTTTTTCCTTTTCCGTGAAACCGTGCACCAAGCCGAACGTGAATTATTTCCACTCGAGAGCACACATCGTCGAAATTTCCAACTTTACAAAGTGTGAAAAATGTAACCGCTTTTACTTTTTCTACGTCAGGAATGTCGTAAACACCGTTGTTTGATCTAGCGAAGTCAACCACGATAACGTACATCAAAACCCAATGTTTGTTAATACGGATGAATCATAGGCAACTTAACAAAAATAATAACGGTTATAAACAATTTTTGTTGTGTTAGTCACTGATGACACGGCTTCAATTGAGGAAAAACAATGACTTCTGGTATTTCGAGTGTGGTATCGACTCTTGTCGACCGACCTAATCGCACACGAAATCTCCACATTTAACATCGTATAGCGCGATTGATTAAAAACGTGATAAAGTAATAATTTTTTCGTTCGCACCAAGATTACGCCGGTTTAAAAAATATAAGTAATATAATTATAAATCTGTCTTATACAACCCTGTTTTTTCTCTCGCGGTGTTAAAGTAATCCAACTGGAACAGTTCCAAAACAAAAAGTCAACTTTATTTTTACGAAGATACAAGTTAGTGCATTGTTTGAATGGGTTTCTGCGTTCGCTTAAATGATATAAGGTCAATTTAAGTTTCCAGATCAATACAATCTGCAGAATTCTGGAGCCACGTCTCGTTCATGATCGGAATAATTGTGACGGGACGCTTTAATATTCACTGAATTTAGTTTTTACTTTATAAAATTGTTCGAGTATAGAAATGCTTTATTCGAAAAAAAAAGTTCGACTGTATCGATGTATAATAAAACGTTCCGACATTTCTGTTTCGCTATTTAGTTACTGACTATGTTATCTCTGTTTAAATATTTTTGCTAAATATTTAACTATAAAGATGGTGGAAAAACACAGTTCCGATAAAATTTGAAAAACACGACGTTTTGCATTTTAACGACAGGTGGTACTAAATATACAACAATCATACAATAAAGAGCTTTTAATGCCAGTCAGAACATAGAAAAATTATTAAAATTACTTCATAAAAAATATACAATCTTCTGTGAGTGTAAAAACGAATTACCGATACAAAATTTGTTCAACATAAAGTATTAACCAGTGTTAGCATTATTGATTATTAGTGGGGGTGTTTTCACGACAGCTAAAACGAAGCATTATGAATTAATAATTGTGTGAGTGTATTACATCCTACGGCGTCCCACAGTTTCAACAATACACATATTTACTCTAAACAATAAAATTTTTGAATAAACACGTACTCGTTTTTTAAGATGACGTCATCAACTTTTTGAAGGGGGCAGATACATAGATTTTAATTACAGTACACCAAAAATTTCACAATAGCCGGTTTAGTAGTTTCAGAGATTATCTGTTTTAATAAAAATATCCAAAGATAGACAGAACACGATTTTCAAACTTTATAAACCGTCTTTCCTGTTTCGAAAGAGGAAAAAAAAGTTGAAATTTAAAATGAACGCTATTAATTTTTTTCTAATTTTCACTTTAAAATACACGTAATTGGATTTCAAAAAATTTACAGCGGTTAGGTAAAATTATGTTACCTATATTTTCAATATATCCCATAAATACTACTATACATAGTAAAAATTTCGAAATTTTCATAACTGAAAAATTTTGGTTTTGAAAAAATTTTCTAAAAAACCTCAAAAATTCTAGGATATAGATGCTGACGTGCTGTTTCCAAAAATATAGTATTTTTATGGTCTCGGGACCAGATTTTTGAAATAATAGGTTTGAAATGCAATTTTTTTTTAAATCCAGAAAACTGTCATTTCAAGGGCGATCCTGAAAAAATGGTGGGAATTATCTAAAAAATTAAGCTGAAAGTTACTTCTGGAGGTCGAAATGTACAAGAAAATGTCTTCAGTCAAGTTTCAAAGATGGTGGAAAAATTCCTAAAATTTCATAAAAAGGGACCATTACAAAATTGTGAGTTTGAGAAAGTTGTCCAAAAATTTCCAAAAATTCTGAAACGTGTTCATTCCAAAAACATGGAATTTTTACGCTACCGAGGGCAGATTTTAAAAATAATCAGTTAGGTCAATTAAAAAAAAATCCAAAAAAACTCATATTTTAAAGGCCGATTTTGGAAAATGGTAAGAGTTATTATTGAAGAAATGAGACCGAAAATAACTTCTGGAGGTCAAAATGTACAAGGAAATGTCTTTGAAGGTCGCCGAAAAATTCCGAAATTTTCACAATTGAAAAATTTTGGTTTTGAAAAAGTTGACTAAAAATCCTCAAAAAATTCTAGGATATAGATTCCGACGTGCTGTTTTCGAAAATATAGCTTTTCTATGCTCCTCAGTCCAGATTTTAGAAATAATCGGTTTGAAATGCAATTTTTTAAAAGATCCAAAAAAAAAACATCAGATTTCAAATGGCGATCCGGAAAAAATGGTGGGAATTATGAAATGTATAAGAAAATGTCTTCGGTCAAGTTTCAAAGATTTCATAAAAAGGGGAATTCATTCTGGGACATGTACATTCTAAAAACGTGGCATTTTTACGGTCCCCGGGGCCAGATTTTAGAAATAATTGGTTTGAAGTGCAATTTTTAAAAAAATCCAAAAAAAACTGTGATATTTCAAACGGCGATTTTGGGAGAATAGTAAGATTTATCGAAGAAATGAGACTGAATGTAACTTCTGGAGGTCGAAATGTACAAGAAAATGTATTTAGTTAAGTGTCGAAAAATTCCGAATTATTCATAATTAAAAAATTTTGGTTTTGAAAAAGTTGTCTAAAAATCTTCAAAAAATGCTAGGACATTGATTGCCAAAAATATAGCATTTTTATGATCACGAGGCACGATTTTACAAATATTCGGTCTGAAATACAATTTTTTAAACAAATTCAAAATACTCTCATATTTCAAAGGGCAATTCTAGAAAAATGGTAAATTATCGAAGAAATGAGACCAAATGGAACTTCTAGAAGTTGAAATGTACAACAAAATGTCTTTCGTCAAAATTGAAAATTCGAAATTTTCATTTTTTCGAAAAATTTTGGTTTTGAAAAAGTTGTCTGAAAATCCTCAAAAAAAAAGTGGGATAGAGATTTCGATGTCCTAATTCCAAAAATACGGTTTTTTTATGTTCCCAGGGCAAGATTTTAAAAATAATCGTTTGTAATGCAAATTAAAAAAAAAAGCTTCATATTTCAATGGACAATTCTGGAAAAATGGTTGGAGTTATTGAAGAAATGACGTCGAAAATAACTTGTAGAGGCCGAAATGGACACGAAAATGTCTTATTTAAATTTCGAAGGTGGTCAAAAATTCCAAATTTTCATAAAATTGAAAAACTTCGCTTTTGAAAAAATTGGCTAAAAATCCTCAAAAATACAGCTTTCTTTTGATTCCGGGACAGGATTTTTAAAAACATTCGGGTTGAAATGGAATCCAAAAAACTATGACTAATTCAATGGGAAATTCTGAAAAAATGTTGGAATTATTTAAGTATTATAATGTATAACATAAAAAAAATAAACCTTAAATAACAAATAAATAACGTTCAAACTGAGATTTTGGAGATCTCCAACATTAAAATTTGCTTTTAACCGTCTTTTCCTTGTTTCTGCGCAAATATGCCGTGTAAATTGACTACAATGCAGAGAAAAAATCATTCGGATCACGTTTATCTTAAACTTTTTTTCGAATTTCGAAAAACCTTCAAAAACCTCTATACAAAGTTAAAAATACCAACAGATAGCTAAGTAAAAGAGCACGCTTTGATTATCGTTTCATCAATTTGTCGACAACTTTAAAGTACATCGAAAATTCCAAAGTTATCAGTACGATAATTTCTGAAATTTGTCTTCTAATAAAATAACAAATATACGATAAACAAAATAAACAGAGGAAACATTAAAATACAGAAAACTAACACCAAAATGTAGCGAGAAGTTTTCAGCCAAGTTTAATAATCTTTGATGACGTCATCAACTTTGTAGAGGGGATAAAATAAGAATTTTTGGTCAACATTCGATAAGAAAAGTTAAACTATCGAGGTTATTGTACGAAGTACCTTGTGTAGACTCGTAAGGTACGAGGTACAATTTTATAGCACATTTATTTTTTTAAGACCACTCAACTCGCATACATAAAGCTAAAAGTAAGTCATGGTAACACAACATGTATTCAAACGTGCTTCAAATGGCTGCATTCATCCCTAATTATCGCCTTGGAGTAAAAACGTCGTCTTCGTTTCCGGTGAATTTTACGATGTCCTTAATTAGACTTTCTTTTACGGATTCTCTGATATTAAATTTGTTTCACATACAAAAATAGCATGATTGATCAGTTGAGAAGAAACAGCCTGTATATTCAAGTTGACAGGTCAGTTGTGACAGGTGTCACTTCTGACCGGTGCAGACGATTTTTAAAATTAATTTTTTTGTAGGAAGTTTGCATATAAGTGTAAAAACTCAACAAAGGAATATCTTTTGTGTTTTATGGGTTTTAAATGTCCAATAAATTCTCGTGCCACGCCAACCACGTCTTTGTTTACAACCCACATCTAATCAAAATCTAGTATCAATAGCATTAATGGCGTCAGTGGTGCCACCCGCCACAAACCCAACACAACAATCCCCAACCTGCCCTAGTTACTTCCCTATCACAACATTGATTTTACAAATAACCCTTTTCCCATTTAACAAATTGACGAATTCTGTCCACGAGTGGGCGGTTTCAACCCTTAAATAATAAATGCTCGCTCAGGACGCTCAAACTCACCGGAATTTGAATTGATCAGCTGTAGGATCAACGGCCTCCGAGTGACAATCCCTGAGCCTCGAGGAAGGAAGTCTCTGTAACAAGATACCGTGTCATTCACCCCGTTATCAAAATTCTTCAAAAATCAATACCCACAACCCACATACCCACGTCGGGACTACAAAGCAAAAAGTGTGACGTCAACCACAACAATTACCAAATGAAACCCCGTGGTAATTGGCGGCGGGCCGGCGCCGGGGGCTCGCGCGGGGGGCTCACGGCCCTACTTACTTGCCGACGAAGTTCTCCAAGACGGAGCTTTTTCCAGCCGATTGTCCGCCCACCACCGCGATTTGGGGCAGATCCAGGGTCATGTGGACCCCCAGCTGGGTGAAAGCGTCCTGCAGCTTGTTCACGATGGGAATAAGCTGCTCCATTCCCGTGTTTCCTGCCATTTTTAGGCCGGAAAGGTGCGAATTTCCCTCGAAAAAAACCAATAACACTTGGACACTCTACCAATGTATACCAACGAACATGGCCGAATAATAACTAAACGCGCATGACTCATGCATTTCGAACCATGATACCGACGATTTTTAGCGAGATTTCGGGGGGATGGGCAGAGACGCTGTTGGCGGAACTGATAAGATTAGATTCTGTGATAAGCGGACAGATGAGAATTTGTCAAACGCGACAATTTCAAACGACCCGTTTAAAACTGTTGCCCGTATCAATACAGCGGCACATGCGCCTGGAAAGCGATGTTTTATTGGTTGCATAAGCGACGGGGACACAGGGCAGGGGCGGAGGGTTCATTCATCATGTGGGGAAGAGTTATTGCTCTTCGGAGAAGTGCACTTAATAAAATGAACATGACGCGTCGTTCCTGACTAAGCGCTTTATTTATTCCAGTATTTTTAATTTCGCTCTATAACCTAATCAGTATTTCCTGCGACAAAGTCAAAAATAGGTCGTAGAAACAATGTAAACAAACGTCGGTTGTAAAGGATAAGCAAAAAATGTATGGACAATCATTCAGTGGCGTACAAATTATTATTGACAAAATCGCAGCTTGTTATTACGTTAAACGTGCAATAAAAGTATTATTACCTCAGCGTTGCAGTTTGTTCTAATCGTATAATATACAGGGCTTTCAAAAATAATTCTAGCATCCAAGTGTTCCGCCTCTTTTAGAGTGTGCAACTATAATGCCAACGTCTTAACCATCTCCATGGTAACGAAAGTTCAAATGTCATAATCTTTAAAAATGTTTACCATTACTAAGAAGTGGCAAATCTGTGAACCTTATCACGCAGACTGTAAAACATGAACCCAACTTGGTTCCTCACCCCTTCGAAAAATGAATGACGTAAATAATGTAAACTGATGCGTAACAGATACCACTCGGGCACCAATTTTTGATTACTGTGCTTAAAGTAAGAGACACCAACCCCTGTTCATTTTTAATAAATTATAAAATTTTTGTACACAAACTAAAAACAACATCATATAAATAATAACATCAACAACTTTCCCTAAAATTATTATTTAGTCTTTTTAATTTTGTCATCTTCTTCCCTTGTAAGTAAATCGACATTCTCCGACATAATCTTGTAAGTTTTATCCATAAGTTCTTGCATATTCTCTGTTGTGTAATTCTCAGTGGAAATTGCTGGAAGAATCTTAATCCTTATATGTCCTACAAAAAAAAAAAAAAAAAACAAAACTCAAACGGAATCAACGTCCACTGATTCACTCACCACTATCAAACTTATGCTTCCCCAAAAACCTATACCTATTGACCACAACAGGCTGAATCGGACACTTGGACGCAATGGCAAGATGAAACGCACCCTTTTTGAAAGGTAGAAGCTTATCAGTAAAATTTCTAGTACCCTCCGGGAACATAAGTACTCTAGCCTGCAACCTCAAAATCAAAAACCATTCCACCACCAAAAACCACCGTCTCACCTTCCTACTCCTTATGGTCTCCCCCGTTTTATTAACAGCAGCCTGCGCATTTTCCTTCTTCACTCTATCAATAAAAATGGTACCCCACAACCACGCCGCACTACCAAACGGCTGAAAATACAAAATCTCCTTCTTTGAAATGACAGCACAATTGTCCATGGCGGGCCACAGTTTTCCCAGAACCAACAAATCCAACATGGATTGGTGGTTGATGAGGACCACGCAGCCAGAATCTCGGATTATGTTTTCGTGGCCTTCGAGGCTTGTGGTGACCCCCAAGAGGCGGCACCCGAATAAAATTCCAGCTGCTGGAATCCTGAAATGTACCTATGTGTAGTGGAGTGGTGGCTGCCGGGTGGGTACTTACAAGGCATTTCGGCTGTCCCTTGGTCTCAGAAGCATAAGAGGAATGGGGGCCGAGGCAAAAACACCACTTGCCGCGCCGAACCAAAGATATTTTAGGTAGTAGCGAGCGATGGGGCTGATTTTGAAGAGAATGGTGATGATGATGATCAGCATTACGACGTAAAGTAGGAGAGCCATGGCTGAAAAACACGAAAATTAGAATTTTGACACGATTGTTGGTAGGTATGTAATGAGACTGACGTCACGGGTTTTGGCGCTACGTTTAAACAACAATAAATTTATACAGACCGGTTGGGAGAGGCTGAAATTAAAGGTGTCTAAAACGTGACACTAACTATGTTTACTTGTGTTGTGTTAACAGTGATAACGCCTTTTCTGACAAATTTAGTGCGCAGGAATTGTACCGATGGAAGATTTATAGCGGCAATCACACAATACTGCGCTAAGTCAACACTTTTAAATCGCCTCAATTTACGCTCTCGAGTGGCCTTCGTTTAATTGAATTTGGTGAAAATTTTCTAACATTTCAAGGCGTGGAACGATCGCTACATTGACGTCAGTTTGCTACAAACGTTTCACTGATCTACGTGCTGCTATTGTGTTCTACTACTGGTGAATTTTCATACAAGTTTCCAATGTTGGCATTTTTTTTATGTAAACGGGTCATGAACTAATGTGCATGAGCAATCAATTGGAAAAGTTAACTGGTAATAAAAGCGACAACAAAATCTGTGTAGTAACATTAACTGACACTTAATGCTACTGATCACTCAAACTGGTACATTTTTTTTCAAAATTCGAACTTATTTACATAACCTTCCCACTTAACGGTCGGTTCTTTTCCTAGATTACGTAATCTGATGACTAAACAGACAAACATCATTGTTATTACTGTCACTGCGTACTTAAAAATTAAAAATACACGTCTGTACCTGGATCTCACACACTAGCACTTCATTCATTCAAACCGCAGAAATAAAATCTGACTTAAGTTAAGTACACTTTGTTATCTTGCGTAAACTATGCCTTTATTGTTTCCAAACAATGAATATGTATCTTATACTTAGTTTACTTTCAAAGCCACTTAGATAAATCCACCGCTTGTACTTCATTATAAACACATTGTATGACTCAACGTAATTTGTGTTGGTCAAAGTCAAAAGATTAGTCTGATTTCGATGAAAGTTCACCAATTTAGTTAACACCTGACGTAATTCTCGATTAATTTTGTGCTATCATAAATCAAAAATCGAAAAAAAAGGTCAGCGAACAATCAATACTCGCTGTTTTTCTCGAAACGGTATCAACGAACATCTAAATCACATTTTTTAATGATTTTGATGACAGTGTGTGAGATAAAGGCAAGGTCATCAGTCTCCAACGTCTCGCAGTTTTAATTTGACAGTATTTAAACAACTGCTACACCAAGTTGGCTTTGAAATTTCGTGAATTTGCCGCTTCGTTGTGATGATTGATGACTGCGTTTGTCACAATGTCAATTATAAACCAATTTTCTAAAGTGTGGGAACGTGCGTGCAGCAAAATGGGGGCTTCTTTGAACATTTGTTGTAGGAATGTCTGATTGAATACACGAAAGCATATTGTCATTTGTGTTAGATTATGATGTTCTTTTAGAGTGTAATAAATTGGTTGGTGAAATAATGAAGCGGCACATTCCTATTAACGTTGCAGAGAGAGCTTTTTCAAAACTAACTTGACGTCTGGAGGTCGATTGATAAAAACTTAATCGTTCAATCAGTTCCAGTTAAATAAAAGTTACTTTAATTAGCGGAAAATAAATCCATGGAAAAGCTAATTCGAAGAAAAAATAGCGAAATACCACTCAATTACAAAAGTTTTCACGCAGATGTGGCTACCTTGAGTTTTTCTTTTCTAGTTTTTATGCAAATTAGTGGTCGAAGAATAGTTTTTTCGCGAAATTTCGATAATCAAACATTGCATCCACGACTGCTGACGCCCAGACACAATCAGGTCAGGTCAGGTCAGGTCTTGAATTTTAAAAAGAAACGATTTGTTGTGATGATTTTTTTATTCGTCGTGAACCAAGACAAGAAATTAAAAACATGTTTTTGAGTATCGGGTTCAAAGAATACCATGTATATTAAGAAAAAAAGGCAAAATATAAAACCCGCCCACCCACCCCGTCCCAATTGTGATGATTTTTTAAACTTAAAAACTCAAACCACGTTTGAAATGGTACATTTTTGTAGAAAAACAAGTATTTTGCAATTAAACTCCACCCCGTTGACTCACGACGAATAAAAAAATCATCACAATTGAGATAGGGCGGGTGGGTGGGGCTTACATTTTGCAGTTTTTTCTTAATATGTGTAGTCATCTTTTCACAACGAGAAACGTAAAACATTTTTAAAATGGTAAATTTGTCTAGGAAAATATCGATTATGCAATTACGCTCCGCCCCTCGGTCTGACAACGAATGAAAAATTCATCACGATTGAGATCGAGACGGATAGGTGGGGCTTCTCTTTTGGTTTTCTTTGTTTACTTAAGAACATATTTCACATGGTAATTTCTCGTTGAAAAATAAGGATTTTACAAGTAAGCTCCGCCTCTCAGCTAACGACGATTAAAAAAGATCATCAGAATTGAAATAGGGCGGGTGGGCGGGGCTTATATTTTGCGCGTTTTTTCTTAATACACATAGCCATCTTTTTACAACAAGAAACTTAGGCCTAATTGAAAAATCGATATTTCCTTATACAAATTTACCATTTTAAAAATGTTTTAAGTTTCTTGTTATGAAAAAAAGACTTCGTACATTAAGAAAAAATGGACAGAATATATACCCCGCCCACCCACCCGATCTCAATTGTGATGATTTTTTTATTCACTGTTAACCAAGGTGGCAGAGCTTAACTGCAGAATACTTATTTCTTTACATGAAATTAAAAAAGTAAATGTTTTTGAGTGTCGTGTTGTTCAAAAAATACCATGTATATTAAGTAAAAAAGGCAAAATATAAACCCCGCCCACCCACCCCGTCTCAATTGTGACGATTTTTTTTATTCTTAGAAACCTAAAACACGGAATATGGATTTTGCAATTAGGCTCCGCCCCTAGGTGCAAACGAATGAAAACTTCATTACTATTTAGATAAGGGCGGGTATGGGTGGGGCTTAATCTTTGGCTTTAATTTCTTCTTAACATACGTAGTATTCTTTGAATAACACGATACTCAAATAAATGTCTTACATGGTAGTTTTTTGTAGAGAAATAATAAGAATTTTGCATTTAAATTCTAAAAAAAATATCGATGATTAAAAAAAATGTATATAGCAATTTTTTCATAACAAGAAACGTAAAACATATTTAAAATGGTAAATTCTTGTGGACAAATATGGATTTTGCAATTAAGCCCCGCCCCTCGATCTGACAACGAATGAAAAATTCATGACAGCTGAGAATAGAGATCGGGGCGGGTATGAGTGGGGCTTAATTTTTGGCTTTACTTTTTTTCTTAATATACATCATATTCTTTGAATAACACGATTTTCAAAAACATGTTTTTAAATTCTAGCAGAGAAATAGGGATTTTGCAGTTAAGCTCCGTCTCTTTGGCTCACAACGAATAAAAAAAATCATCAGAATTGAGATAGGGTGGGTGGGCGGGGCTTCATTTAGCCTGTTTTTCTTAGTATGTGTAGACTTATTTCGACAACCAGTAATTTAAAACATGTCTCAAATGGTAAATTGTTGTAGTAATCAACTTAAATCCTCCACTTTTTTTCTACAACCCCTTTAAATATGGCAACTTGGCAGCGGAGTTTATAAATGACAATTTTGTTTAGTAATTGTTGTTTGTCTTTTTTTTAACACACCGGTTATGGGTGCATTACGGACAGCCTACATATTAAACAGCATCAATTTTGTGTACACTACCACACCTCTGTGTGGTGTACCTACTGAAGCGCACTGTTTAATTATGGAAACAACAAATACTCCTTATCAAGTTAAGAAAGAATATCAAGAATTAATAATAGAGCTATAGAAACTGAAGTAGAGTGAATAATGTCAATATTAAATAAACTATGTATTTAAATATTGCTTATCAATTGCTTTTTTGATGTTATAAAAAATCGATAATTATTATTACGTAAATTGGATTAAAATAGATTAATTCTAAAATTAAACTACTAACAATTTTTGTAATTAATAGAAAAAACGTCTCACTTGAAATTCAGTCGTAATTATCTCCACTCACACGAAATCTTTCCAAACAAAGGTTTTGTTCAAACTACAAAAGTCACTCGAATTGTTTCAAAGGAATCCACTTCACCGATAACACAAGTATTGTATTACTATTATTATGTAACATGAATCGCAAAATTATTCACAAAATACGCAAGGACTAAATTAACTAAACCACCACTGCGTGAGTAACAATACCAATTATTTCAATTCTCCTCGATTCATCATCAGCTGGTATTTATCACTTATCGGTCGTTCTATTTACAAAGGCGCCTAATCAGGGGAAATCCAGATAAACAACTCATACTCACCCAAAAAATTCTATCAACGTTTGTACTCAGTTATAGCCCAACTCAGAGCTTTCCCTTTTCATCGTCCGCAGAGGACCCGCACTTCTGCAGAGACCGCAACACCGGCAACTGATATCGAATACTGGCGAATTTTCGTTGCGTGATAAAAGAAACATGACGACACATCGCACTTGTTAGCGATAATAGCTCAAGTGTTGCTGTGGATGTGACCGCCGCGAAATCAAACAGTGGTAAAATAACGATGTCGCAATTAGAGGCGTTATTAGCATGCTGGTGTGGATGTTTATGGAGAAAGAGTGACTCAGGATTAATGATTGCATTTAATATAAAATTATCGAGCAAATCCGACGAGCTTGTGAACATGAAAAGTTGCATGACGCGGTGATGGGAAAATTGAGTAATGGTTGCAAAGTGCCGTTGTTAAAAATTTTATATTTTTGCAAAATTACGTGCAATTGGATTCAATTTGATGGAAAGATTGCCCATACTTACCTTAACAACCTCAGGAGTCGTCACTATAATGGTACTAAGTTCACAGTGAACACTTAAATATAAACAGTTACTAACTACTAACTACAAAAGTGATATTTAAATATCGCTAATGTGTTGTGGTGAAATTATACGTGATAATAATAATGCTTTTTACTGCAGCCAGACAGGAACATATCAATAAATAAACAAGAAATAAATTACAATAAATCTAATTAAAAAAAACTGGTCGAAGGTTGTTTTGATAGAGATAGATAGAGAAAAAAATTAACTAAAATTTTGTTTCCTTACCATTTAGAAATATTTCCAAACTCCCAAAGATGACCAGAAATTCATAACTTTAATTGCATCAAGCAACTGAAAACAGTTTTTTTTTGTAGATAATTAAATACACTGTGGTGTTCTGATTTTGAAATTTAAATTTCGCGCCAAGAAAAAATTAGCAATCACAAACCTAAACGAGTGTAATTACTGCAATATCAGTTGATTAATAATTTTCTAATCTTATCCTTATTTCCGACTATAATTACCTAATAGTGTTAATATGTGAAAATGAATAATAATATTAAAACTACAACTCAGACAAATATTATACACCATGTTTCAAGTAACACAAGTACAAAACCTTCAAACCATAATGATTAAAAATTTACTGATAATGGTAATTGCGTTGTGTAGTAGTAAAATGGATGGTCTTACAAATACATTTGTGTTATCAAAATAATACTGAGTCGTCTAATAAACAAAAAAAAAATTACTTAATAAATTTGTAGTCGACCCGATTGTCGACAATGGAAGAATTTTATTATTATCAATCAATCTTTGAACGCCACTCTGTCAACCCACAACGAATTAACAAATTTCAAAAACTGGTGCCCGACTTTGCCCTCTACACTTTTTTTTTAAACGACGTAAAAAAGTCCCCAGTAAAGTAATCGAATTTATTAAAAAAACTCAATTAGTAAATAAAATAAATTAGTACAAATTTGATAAATCTGGTATAAAAGGCAAACGTTATTAAAGCTCAGAATTACGAAGTCGTTGCGGCTTTAGGAACAGGCACTCGCACTCCCATCAGAACACACAGCTGATTCCGTACTGGTCTGACCACGTCGACAGGCTGCTCCCAGTCCGCACTGCTCAAAACCTGCATAATCTCGTCCAAATTTTCCGTCTTAAAAACGGCCCCATCACCGTATACCAGGAGGGACTCGTACAAAATGGACGCCGTGGATTTCCGGATGTAGCTCTGGCGGTGGCACAACAGAATACTTAACTGCACCAAAGCTGACTGACAAGCGTCGTTTTTCACCTAAACAACAAACATATAGTGACTTTTGACTTAATCACTGCTGCAATACCTGAACAAACTGGGCCAAAAGATTAATTCCGTCGATCAGCTTGTAGATATCTTTGCACCCTGAGATTTCCGCTAAAATTAATTTTAACAGTCTTTTACAAAAATCGGCAGCGGGGTCTTCAGTTAGGTGATCGATGCACCCCGAGCTGAAAAATTTTTCTAAGAAGCGAAGCGTCGGCACCGTGATTCTGTCCATTTTCTGGTGGTCTTTGAAAATCGTGTAAATAACTTCACACAGACGATTGATTTCTTCAATTCTGCTACTTTTCTTCTCTCTTTGCATATAAGCGAAGAGCGAAGAACTGGAATTTTTGACTAATGTTTCAGTCAAACCGCCTATGCTACATATTAAGCCAAGCATCACGTTATAGGTGTATTCTGGAAATTTCAACAGTTCGACGAATTTAGGAAACGTGTCTGACGCCGAATTCCAATTCAGATTTTCATAGTCTTTGGAAAAAATTGTGACTATGTCGTCGTAAAACGGGATTTTCGGAACTTGAATTTCACTAAAAACGACGATTAAATTTAAGCTAGTCATACTAAGAAAATAATTACTGGTGAAGAAAACTGTAAAAAATTCTTCCCGCCAATGCTCTCGTTCTGTCTATTCTTTCCACTGCTTGTTGTGCAACTCCAGCCACGATTTTACTAACCAACACTCCATCCAACAAGTCCGATTTTTTTTCAACTACCTTGAAGGTCAAAGTCTGGAGACCTATCATGGCAGCTTCGCGCACCCACGCCCCCACATCCCCTCTTTTATCCTGCGTGTAATCCTTCAAACCCCCCAGAAACACGTCGTAAATATTTAAAACACTCTCTTTGTGAAAATCTGAAAATTATGTATCATTTTATGATCATGTGCACCACACTTCTCTACCTTCCCCTATTTCATCGGCCATCGTCACCGCCAAACCCGCTAGCGCTTTAATCGAATCCCGCCTACTCTCCGCCCACTTGCTCGTAATTGGCGTAATCTGCGCAGCTTGCACGAGCGCACCAATCACACTACTCAAATGTGACGTCAACATGAACTTAGGCAACGCCCCGAGAGCTAAAGCATGCCCCATTCGTACTTCCTGCTGCGACGTAGAAGCCAACTCGTGGATGTACGTATCAACGAGGTGTTTTTGTGCCGCTTTGTTCGAATAGTAGTACTTGGATAGAAGTACGGGTAACGCTTTAATGGCAGCGGATTGAATAGTCGGGACGTTGTAACTGATGCATTCATTGAGAAGATTGAGCCAATCGTCTACAACAAATATGTCGATTTTGTGGTTTTGTATTGAGGTTAGGTTACCCGTGACGTCATTAGTTAAAGCGAGGGACGCTAGAGAACACTTTGCGATAAAATCGCAGCAGGCGTTTCTCATTAGCTCGCCACCTAAACCCCGGAAGGCGAATTTCTGGCGGAAATGCGGAACCAAATTTTTGATTTTGTCCAGAATGGGCGTGGTCAGAACGTCTTCGATTGGTTGAGATTTCGCAGTTATCGAAAGGGCGTGGACGATTTCACCAATGGCTAAAACTGCGCCGTGTTTGCTATTCAGATCAATGCTGTTCGTTTTTTCGAACAAGGTTGGCAGCACTGTTGTGACCATGTATTCGGGAGCCTTCATGTTTATCGATTTTATTAACACCGAGTTTAGAAATAAAATACTCACCCTGGAAGCTAAATTGTGTAACGTCTTGGCTGTCAACTCCCTAATAATACAGTCCCAATGGTCGACTTTCCGGTGCAATAAATGGTCAATCATAGGTACCGTGTACTCATTGAACTGAGCGATATACGAACTTATGTTCAAATAAGCGTTATTTCGAACACTAACAGCAAAAAAATCGGCGACTGTCAAAATATCAATGCCGTGCGGGAAAGTCCCTTGGCGGCCTACGTTTTCCTGGAACGCCGCCGACGCCGCCCTCCTGCAATTAATCTAAACAAAAATTGACCACCACGTCATCATTCAAGTACTTCTCTGTCGAAACAAGTGACTATAAGTAAAGTTGAGGCTATAGTGTTAACAAAAGGTTTGAGAATTTCTTTTTCGTAAGCACGTGCGAATGACCAACAGACGTAGCAAGCTGCGTCTCTTATATGAGAACCAACGGATGAGTAACCTCTGGGTTCGTCATAGACGAGTGCTTTGAGTACTACAGGTACCACTACTGGAAGTCTTTTGGGTAAGAGCAAGCCCCTTCGTCCTAATTCTGCTAAAGCTAAACACCCCCCATGCCAGGCTCCATCCCCTTCCCGCGGACTGAACAACTCCAAAATTGAACCCACAACTTCGTCTGCCAAGTCTTGGGGTAGGCGACCGGTGACACGGCCTATACCCTTAGCAGCCGACCATCTACACAAATCAGATGTATTATTGTATAACCCAACTTATAATATAAATAGTTACCTGACAACTCCATCACCACTGCGCAACCCTTGAATCAACTGATCTATCACCTCCTCAACTTCATCAGGCACTTCAATATTTTCATCTTCTAAGTTTTCTTCAGTTTCGGGTAAGTGCGAAGTTGTACCATCCCCCGCACTTAAATTAGCCGCCAAAGATCGACTCCCTCTTTTGTAGCGCCATGCAGCCACTCTAGGAGGCAGAAACGTCAAACCTGCACACCCACAAATAAAACACAAATCGCGAAATAAATAAATCGTACCTATTCTTTGAACGAGTTTGTACACCAGTTTTTGCACGTTCGTTCCTGCGTTTTGCTTAATATCGTCATTTATAACCCACGCTAGCAAATCGTTGGCGTATGGTAGCAAATCCTCGCGTTTACCATGCTTTATAATCATAGCTACCGAAGCTAGGATGCCTTGTTTGACAAAAACGTTACTTTCGGGGGCGGTGCTTAGCGAAATCGCCCAATTAAAATATTCGGACAAGTGTTGCTCCTTTACGTCATTTCTGTAACCAATAAGATACTCAATCGCGTGACAGTTGTGGCCTTGAGTGTCAAATAATGGACAGACTATAGGTTTTTAAAATTAATTTACCGTGTGATAAAGCGTGCTGATAAATAGGCAGCGGCGTCTCTACACTTGTCAGAGACAACGACATATTGTTTTATTACGTCTAATACCCTACACATCACAGTCTTGGAATTATCACCAGTCTCTATGGACCCATCAAAGCGGTTCAAGTGGAATGGTATCATAATAATAATTGAAAACCAAAGCAGCAACACATATCTCGTGGTCCAGGTTTCAGCATCATTGGGGTTTTGCGCTTCCAAAAGTCTTAAAACGGCTTCAAAATCAGAAACCTGGAAACATAACCTCAAACTTATTTTTTTGTAATAGTCAGAAAAAAACTAAAGGTACCTCGTGTGGAAGGTGGCGCACAATCACCTTATACCCCCTCACATTTACAACGACAAACATGTATTTAAAAACGCTGTGTTTAACATCCATGTTGTTTTCGCTCCGTATGATACTGATACATTTTGCGAGCAATTCGTCTAAATGGGTGTCCAGTAAATGCGGCTGTTCTTTATACTGACCAATAATCACACTAAAACGTTCGTAAGCTTTTTCACTGAGAGACTTATCGTTGTAGGTGTTTTTGAGAGAGTCAATCATTTCGAGCACTTCTTTGGCTTCGGTGAATAGCTCCAAGGCACAACCTAGCCCGAAGGGCTCCTCTTCGGTTTCTGTATCCATGCTTTTGGTGTCGGAATCCGGCATTTTCAACGTTGTTTGATAATTTTTGAAACACAAGGTTTGTTGACTGAAATGTCACTTTTGACAAGTTGGAAAAAGCGGTGTTTTACTGGTTGCCTGCACGAAATTCTTTTTACATCGAAAATTGAAAGTGGTATATTTTTATCAATAGTTGCATTATTTGCTTACCAAATGTTGACACTAAACACACGCGTTGGTTTATTTGTAACAAAACAACGTATTTATGGATTGAAAATTAGAATTCTAGGGGTTTTGCGTTTCGGGTTGGGTGCAATGACCGAATGACATGAAGACAAGACATGACAGTAGACGGACAAATGACAGAAATTCTTGTATTATCATGAAAATTAAATTAAAGCGCACTCGACGCGTCTATAATGTGGTTTTTAACTTATATTAGTTACTTTGCAATAGTAGTGCAATTGATATTTATTACAATAGCAATAGGTGAGTTTTAACATTTCCTAACCTAACCTAAAATTTTTCTTTGAAGCCGCTGGCCTTTACTACCTTGCGGAATTGGTGGAGGAATACTCCAGCGTCGCAAAAAAATGTATATGGTGGACAAACACCGTAAGCATACTTGTGACACTAAAAAAGTAACTACATTTGGTGATTTGTAGATTGTGACTGTTCTCTATGTCCTCCTCTGGCTCTTTGAAAATTTCCCGACGTTCATGATTGTGTTTGGAATTTTAGCGCAAATATCACACTTTTTCATACTGAGACATTTCCCATCGGTATCTTTGACGTCGCCCGAATTTATTGCCTCTGTGGTTCTCCTTGTCCTTAACCATTATTTCGCGTTCCAGTACTTTGCAGAGGTGCACTATGTGTTTTCAGAAGTAACGTAGCCCCGGTGTATTTCTCAGTTTTTGTAATTTTTATTTTAGGTAATGGCTTACTTCGTGTTGTGGTTGTGGCTGGTTCCATTTGCTTTATTCGTATCCCTATCGGCAAATGATAGTGTTTTACCTACAGTAACTGAGCACAGTGGTAGATATAGTTGAATTGAGGTGGCAAAGAATTATTTTTTGGTTTCAGATGGCGACGTTGTATCCAATTATTTCTCGAAAAAGAGAAAGTATGGGTTACTTACATTTTTCAATTACGCAAAAGAGTCGTTACTTCCTCTTAGGACAAAGAAAGTTTTTTGATATTACCCACCGACTGATAATAAATGTAGTTGAAATGTTGGTCACCAATGTTACGTAATTTATTATATGAACATTGTTATAATTCTTTGTAATATAGCGTTGTTATTATTTTATTTCCACCTTTCACACTTTGAACAAAACCAGAAACATTTCAAAATTTTAATTCTAGCAACACTTAATACATAAGATAAATCCTCAGCGAACTTTTTTTAAAAATTTAAATAAATTAAAACTTGTAAATCTACTTAATCTTGCACTGTTAGCCTTTTGTTGGCTTGATGGGCCTGCAAGACCGCCACCGCCTCCTCCACTTTAGCCTTCAACGAGTCCTGATTGTTCACCAGAGCCTTCAACTCACTGATGTCGATCTCTAAAAGCATCCCTGTTATTTTGCCAGCAATCTCAGGATACGTTTTTTCGATCACTCGGTACATTCTCTCCCCCAACATCCTCTTATCTTCAGAATTGCAGACGCTTTCGGTGCTCGAATCCCCCCCATTACCCACCGAAACGTTAACCGGTCGTACCATGGGGGTGTTCGCCGTATACTTACTATTGGGTCGGGAAATGGGCACTTGCTGACCCGTGATGGGTCTCGCGTGCACGTTATTCCTCGCATTGTTAACCTGAATGGCGGGCCTGGACGTCGACCTGTACGCAGTGGCCGGGAGAATGGGCAAATTGTACGTCCCATTTAGCCGTGGCAAGTTCTGAGTGGTCCAACGCGGCGTGGGGCGTATCTGCGCCATGTGATTGTAGAACCGCGGCCCTTGCGGAATGGTCGGAATGAGAAACTGGGGCGTGGTCAAAGGCGGCGACAGTGTTTGGTGACGAATGCGCTGCATGCACTGCGCACTGAGGTACGCCCTCCGGTCTTCGTACCGCTGCGCGAGCGCCACATAAATGGGTTTGTTACCAATCATGCGCCCGTCCATCTCGGAAATGGCTTTAGCCGCCTCCTCTGGAGTGGTGTAGCAGACGAAACCGAACCCCTTGCTTCGCCCCGCCTCCATCATAACCTTCGCCGAAGTAATATTACCAAAAGGCGAGAACTCCTTACGCAGACGCTCGTTGTCGAAGGAGTCGTCCAAATTCTTAATGTAAACGTTGGCCCCTTGGATACGATTATACCGCTCGAGCTTCATTTGCTCGTAACATTTCTTCAGTTCTTTGGCACGTTCGGACTTCTTCTGAGCACGACCGACGTAGAGATTAGACCCGTTTAATTCGAAGTTATTCATCTCCACGACGGCTTTTTCAGCGGCTTGGGGGTCATCGAAAGCTATAAATCCAAACCCTTTCGAGCTGCCGTCGGAGTTCTTCATCACCACGCACGACGTGACCTTGCCGAATTTCTTGAACATTTCAAACAGCTGCTCTTGAGTGAGTGTTCGGCCGAAGTTCTTCACGTACACGTTGGTGTATTTCTTCGCTTTTTCGCCGATTTCTTTCTCGCGTTCGCTCCTCGGGATGAACTTGCCCACGTACACTTTCTTCCCGTTGAGGAGCATCCCGTTGACCTTCTCGATGGCTTTATTCGCGGCTTCCAGGTTTTCGAAGTGGACAAACCCGTGCCCTTTGGACAGTCCGTCCTCGTCGGTGGCCACCTTACACGACAGGATGTTCCCGAACGCCGAGAACGTGTCATACATCGCTTTGTTATCGATGCTCTTGTCCAGGTTCTTGATGAAGACGTTCCCGATCCCGGACTTGCGCAGAGAAGGGTCGCGCTGGCTCCACATGATCCTGATGGGCTTGCCTTTGAGGAGGTCGAAGTTCATGGTGTCTAGGACCCTTTCCGCTTCCCCTGTCTGACTGAAGTTGACGTAGGCGTACCCCAGGGACTGCTTGGTCCGGGAGTCGCGGCATACCCGTAAGGAGAGGATTTGGCCCGCTGGGGAGAATTTTTCGTAGAGGAGGGCTTCGGTAACATCTGGGTGAAGATCGCCGACGTACAAGGATGTCAAAGGAAAAAGGATTCCTTGGCGGGAGGTCATTCGTCACGTTTTTGCTTGTTCTTTCTAACACGGTTCAACTTAAAATATAACCCTTAAAGACTATTCGTATTTTTTTGGTTTTTGCACAAATAAAATTGTTGTTTCGGTGCCGTAGCAACGCGAATTGTTTGTTTCATGGAGTGGGCGATATGAAGTCGAAATGGCGGGTACAGAACTGAGTAAAGCTAGTTCTACAGACACGCATGCGCAAACCGTAAACTACCTTTATTATACTAGATTATGTACATGAAATTAGTCACCGCGAATGGATTCTAGATAGTCAAAGGCTTCACGGGAAATTCTGTGGTATTTCGCCATCACTGGCCTGTAATAGTAGGCTTGATAGTCAAGTCTCTCCGCCATTTTATCTTTGATTTTTTTCTCCAATTGTCTCAGTTGCTTTTTCTCGTTTTCCATGAAAATGTACGCTAGGTATTTCTCGTAGTCTTGCTGGGGATCTGCGAGCATGTATCTAGCGATGAAACGAGTGATGGGGCTCTAAATCAAACACAGATGAGAAACCCACCGGCTTAACAAAGTCGCTTTACCTTATAGTACTCCCAATACTTCGGTGTGTAACCTTCTGGTATTTCTTGAAGAGTCGCAGGCCCGATGAACACGTTTGCATATAGAGTTAGAAGACTCAACGGAATTATACCAACCAATGCATAAAAGTGAAACAGGTCCTTGAATTTGTTCCATTGCCACCTGGAGGGTTCCATAGGGAAGACACGGTGTTCCGACATGGGTCTCCATAATCCTAAAGCTGCACAAACATTAGGGTTATGTAATAGCAACAAATAGGTTACCTGTGGTGTTTTTCGTTAGTAATGGTCTTAATTTGCTTAAAATCATGGTGAAGAAACTAAGTGCGATGTTATGCCGCCACTGTTCTTAAAAAATTGTCCTTATTTTTTTATTTTTGTTTTTTGTCTGAAATTTCATGTGTTGACAAGTTTGACAGTCGTGACATAACAGCAGTGTTGCCAACCAAACTACCAATAACCGCCCTTTGATTCTGAGATTTTAAATTGAAATAAAAATTTAAATTTTGTAATTTTGTCAAATCAAGGATAGATAACCATCAATTAATATCAACAGAGTAAAATTTTAACTGGTTTTTCATTTTCCAAGTGATTAAGTTTTTCGTATTCTCGTGTTCCATTATTAGAAAATACTGTACGCTGAAGTTTTAAAATTATCTCCAAAATGATATAACGTTAGGCAAAATTTAATTTTTATGCACGTTTTTTCATCCTCTTTAAAAAAATAGTGACGTAATTCGCAAATCAAATAAGTTTTTTTATGCATTTTTGGTTGTTTTTTGACTTTTTACTTCCCGAGCGTAAGCAAAGGAAGTATTGTAATCGAGTCCGTCGGCCGACTCTCTACTTTTACGTTTTCTCGATCTTTCATGACCCCTAGAAGACGAAGAAATAGGTCTCCCATTTCCGTCTGTCTGTCCGTCTGTCCGTCTGTCCGTCCGTCTGTCCGTCTGTCCGTCTGTCCGTCTGTCCGTCTGTCCGTCCGTCTGTCCGTCTGTTGTCCCGGATTTTTATTAGACAGATAATCTCCGAAAGTACTCGACCGATTGTTGTGAAATTTTGTACTTATATTAAGAATATCATGTAGATGGTAAAACGCTAACCAAAATTTGTCTAATCATCCCCACCACTAAAGCGATGACGTCACTTCAAAATTGTACATAGTAAATGGGTTTTCAATTGTATAAAATAACATAGTCCTACACATGTAGTTTACAACTCTGAATCGACTTTTCACCCGAAACGTCCAGATTTTTGGAAAAAAAATCAAAATTATAAAACAACATTTTGAAATTTAATTTTTAATCTGCTAACCAGAATGCTTTGAAATGTTGCAGATGTTTTAAGGCTATAAAGAGCATCATAAATCTTTAGTCAAAAAATATTTGCTTATCCCCTCCAAAAACTTGATGACGTCAGCTCAAAAGTTTGTGGAATAAATCATATCTAAAATGTACAAAATATGATGAGTCTGTACTTGTGAACTATCACTCCATTAATATTTTTTGGATTTGCATATACAGGGTGACTCAAAAAAATTAATGAATGCGTAAATATATTTTATTGATTTAATCAGGAACTACAAAACCGAATGCTCTGAAATCTTGCAGATGTTTTAAGGTCATAAAGAGCATAATAAATGTTTAGTCAAAATATATTTGCTTATCCCCTCCAAAAACTTGATGACGTCAGCTCGAAAGTTTGCCGAATAAATCATATCTAAAATGTACAAAATATGATGAGCCTGTACTTGTCATTTATCACTCCATTCATATTTTTTGGATTTGCATATACAGAGTGACTCAAAAAAATTAATGAATGCGTAAATTTATTTTATTGATTTAATCAGGAACTACAAAACCGAATGCTTTGAAATCTTGCAGATGTTTTAAGGTTATAAAGAGCATAATAAATTTTTAGTCAAAATATATTTGGTTATCTTCTACAAAAAACTGATGACGTCAGCTCAAAAGTTTTCCGAATAAATCGTATCTAAAATGTACAAAATATGATGAGTCTGTACTTGTGATTTATCATTCCATTCATATTTTTGGATTTGCATATGCAGGGTGACTCAAAAAAATTAATGAAGGCGTGAATTTATTTTATCGATTTAATCAGGAATTACAAAACCGAATGCTTTGAAATCTTGGGAATATTTTAAAGTTATTATAAGCATGGTAAACTTTTGTTCAAAATGTATTTGTTCATCCCTCCTAAAAAAATTGATGACGTCGCCCTTAAATTTTGCTGAATAAATCCTATCTAAAATGCAAAAAATATGATGAGTTTGTACTTGTGATTTATCATTCCATTCATATTTTTTAGATTTTCTTAAGAGGTGGTTGAAAAAAATTAATGAAGTCAATCTATTTTATTGATTAAATTAAAGGCAACACTTATTATTAGTATTACACCCCAACCAACCCAATTTGGTAGACACAAAATTTGTTAAAGGAAAAACTCGGTTGAAACGTAAGGGTAGCACGCTTATTTACATCGACTTTAACATTACAGACCTGCATTTGTTTTATGCGTTCACTTGATTCCGCGAATGTGAAATAGACATGTTTATAATCAACCAATTGTGAATTTCACCGTCAAGAATTAAAATAAAACCCAATGTTTTATATAATAAGCGGAAGTCGAAGCAATAAAACCGACGGTCGTTTTGTTTACAGTTTCTGTGTTTGGCTCTCACGTATGCTGTTACGCCTGTCATCTTAAATTAACAATGTTTATACATACACGATTTTCAGTTGCCTCTGATACGTAGGTATACGTGAGTAAATTGTTTCGTTATTTTATTGATTATTACAAATCAATATTCAAACGACCCAATTCATTTTCCCGAAAATTTGAGAATATAATAATTTTATTCTTAGTATTACACTACATCTATCCCAACTGATATACGTGTCCTTGCAAAAATGTTGATGACGTCATCGCAATTTTTTTTTAAATTCCCACTACAAAAATGTAATGAGAAAAAAAACACAATAGGCATGCAGTCGTCAAGTTTCCGACAGCGAGGGAAGTACTGTCTAAACTCTTTAGACCAATTTTTTGGATTTGCATATACAGGGTGATTCAAGAAAATAAATGAAAGCGTAAATTTATTTTACTGATTTACTCAGGAACTACAAAACCGAATGCTTCGAAATCTTGAAGATATTTTAAAATTATCATAAGCATGGTAAATTTTTGATCAAAACGTATTTGGTCGTCCCCCCTAAAAAGTTTATGATGTCACCACAAAATTTTGCTGCAAAAATTCTATCTAAAATGTACAAAATATGGTGAGTCTCTTCTTGTGATTTATCATTCCATTCAAATTTTTTCGATTTGCATATACAGGGTGACTCAAAAAAATTAATGAATGCGTAAATTTATTTTATTGATTTAATCAGGAACTACAAAATCGAATGCTTTGAAATCTTGCAGATGTTTTAAGGTTAAAGAGCATAATAAATTTTTAGTCAAAATATATTTGGTTATCTTCTACAAAAAACTGATGACGTCAGCTCAAAAGTTTGCCGAATAAATCGTATCTAAAATGTACAAAATATGATGAGTCTGTACTTGTGATTTATCATTCCATTCATATTTTTGGATTTGCATATGCAGGGTGACTCAAAAAAATTAATGAAGGCGTGAATTTATTTTATCGATTTAATCAGGAATTACAAAACCGAATGCTTTGAAATCTTGGGAATATTTTAAAGTTATTATAAGCATGGTAAACTTTTGTTCAAAATGTATTTGTTCATCCCACCTAAAAAAATTGATGACGTCACCCTTAAATTTTGCTGAATAAATCCTATCTAAAATGCAAAAAATATGATGAGTTTGTACTTGTGATTTATCATTCCATTCATATTTTTTAGATTTTCTTAAGAGGTGGTTCAAAAAAATTAATGAAGTCAATTTATTTTATTGATTAAATTAAAGGCAACACTTATTATTAGTATTACACCCCAACCAACCCAATTTGGTAGACACAAAATTTGTTAAAGGAAAAACTCGGTTGAAACATAAGGGTAGCACGCTTATTTACATCGACTTTAACATTACAGACCTGCATTTGTTTTATGCGCTCACTTGGTTCCGCGAATGTGAAATAGACATGTTTATAATCAACCAATTGTGAATTTCACCGTCAAGAATTAAAATAAAACCCAATGTTTTATATAATAAGCGGAAGTCGAAGCAATAAAACCGATGGTCGTTTTGTTTACAGTTTCTCTGTTTGACTCTCACGTATGCTGTTACGCCTGTCATCTTAAATTAAGAATGTTTATACATACACGATTTTCAGTTGCCTCTGATACGTAGGTATACGTGAGTAAATTGTTTCGTTATTTTATTGATTATTACAAATCAATATTCAAAACGACCCAATTCATTTTCCCGAAAATTTGAGAATATAATAATTTTATTCTTAGTATTACACTACATCTATCCCAACTGATATACGTGTCCTTGCAAAAATGTTGATGACGTCATCGCAATTTTTTTTTAAATTCCCACTACAAAAATGTAATGAGAAAAAAACACAATAGGCATGCAGTCGTCAAGTTTCCGACAGCGAGGGAAGTACTGTCTAAACTCTTTAGACCAATTTTTTTTTTAATTTTTGTTGCATTATTTTGTTTTTTTTTCGCATTTCTGTCACCTTTTTTTATTGTTTTTTTTTTTAATATTTTCTTGCCGCATTTTTTGTTTTCATCTCATTTTTCATATTCATATTCTTTTTTCGTCTATTTTTATTCGTATTTTCTTGTTCCTTTTTGCTTTTATGCATAGGTTTTTAGGCATTCTTTTTGTCTCTTTTTACTTTTAGCAGTGAGTATAGAGTCATACATAGTCACTGCTTTTAGTCATCTTTTTTCTCACAATTTTTGTCGTTTTTTCAACTCCTTTTTTTGCTTTTATTTTTTTTTTTTTGTCTCATTTTTAATAGCCTTTTTGCCTCTTTTTTAGCGTTTTTTATGCCTTTTGGTTTTCGTCTTTTTTTTTCTTTTGTTGAAGACGTTATTAAAAATTATTTTAGGTATCTATGGGTAAAAAAATCGGTAGCATGCTTCATTACGCAGAGTTAAAAAAATCCTCATAAAACTCACAAAATCAAATTTAATTGTTTAAGAAACCTGATTTGTTTAGTTGTACTTCAGGAACGAGGGAAGTTCTTTTAATTGAGTAACTTTAGACTGTGCTTTAGAACAATTTTGTTTTCATGTGCATCGTTGAAATTTTTTATTTTACATGCGAAATATATAGTAATTTACGGCTGTTGGGTTGGTTGCACAGATTTCTGGTGACTTTTATTCGCATTTAGTTACAGGAATTTTCGTTTTTCGTTGTTTTCCACAGGACGCCGCCATTTTGTCTGGTGTAGTAAAGCGGTGAAAAGTTGCTTACTTTTAACAAATTTCCATAAAAACCTCGCCGATACAAAACAGTAAGTATTCGCTATTCAGTAATCGTAAATAACACCTTTATTTACCAGACAACCATGTCTATGAGTGACCACGATGAAGGTTACATAGTGAAACTCCGAGGCTTGCCCTGGTCCGCCACAACCGACGACATCCTAAAATTTTTCAAAAACTGCAAAGTCCTAAACGGGAAGCACGGAATCCACATGACTTCATCCCGTGAGGGGCGACCCAGCGGCGAAGCTTTCGTAGAATTCGAAAGCGACGATGACCTAAACTGCGCTTTGAATAAGGATCGAGAGCACATCGGCAGCAGATACATTGAAGGTGAGTCTTCCACACTCACAAACCCGCCCTAAGCCCGCGTTTTTAGTTTTTAAAGTGAATAAAGCCGAAATGGACTGGGTGATTAAAAGGTCAGGCCCGACTTACGGCATCAATGATGACGGTTGTGTTAGATTGAGAGGTCTGCCTTTCGGCTGTTCTAAAGAAGAAATCGCCCAATTCTTCACTGGTACGTCGCTTTCATTTCTCTGGCATTTTCATGAAAAAGTAAAAAACGCCCAAAACAGTGTCACTGTCAACTTTTTTACATTCATGTGACATTTTTCTGGGTGCGTCGACCTCAAAGCAACAGGAAATAATTGCATCTTTTGTTAAGATTGAGTTTTGTCGATGATCAATCATTTTCTGTTGGGGAAGGTTTGCTGTGATCACTCAAATTTAGATATGTTTTGAGATAATATAAGAAAAATGTTGAGTTCAAGGGTTGATTGGGTTATTTGGGTAGGGTTGGAGATAGTGCCCAACGGAATTACTCTTCTGACAGACTACTCAGGGCGGAGTTCTGGGGAGGCTTACGTTCAGTTTGTTAACAAAGAAGTGGCAGAGAAAGCTCTGCTGAAACATCGGGAAAAAATTGGACACAGGTGGGGTATGGGAGGGAAAGGGTCATCCTCCTTTTTTCCATGAACCGATTTCAATTTTTTTAAATTACAACTTGTTTATTCACTGTTGCATTTTTATATTAGTGTGTCGTTTTTTTATTTATGCGCTTTATAAAAATGCAATAGATGTGCAAGTAAGGTAAGTTCATTACGAAAGTAAGAAATTACGAGTTCTATCGTCTATTTGGGTACAGCAATCCATAAATGTTCATTTTTATTCATAGTTTTCGCTTCATGCGTTGCTGTCCACAAATGCGATAATTTTTGCAGATTTTGAAAAACGAGATAAGGTTTTCATTTCATTCAAATTCAGAATTTTAAAAAAATTTACATATTCGAGGGTATATCTTGTCCCGTTTTTGAAATCTACTCGAAAATGATTATTTTGAAATGTGGGATTCAAGGGAAATTATTGCTTTACAGGGGTGTCCCAAAACATGGCCGGTAAATTCAGAAATAATTTTACGTTTTTTAGTAATTTTTGACACATTAATAAAAAAAACTTCTGGTATAAGTGATGGGACACCCTGTATGTTTTATTTTAGAGTTCTGTATACGAAAGTGATTTAAAATATTTTTTTTTCTATTGCCAGAGATCTACAATTAGAATTTAAAGACAGTTTTTGTTGCCAAAAGTTCTGTGTGCAAGTGATTATTTAGATTGGAATGTGCCGCTTCCATAGATGGAGTACCTTGCGAACTTCATTTAGTGACTTCAGCTGTCACCGAACAGTGGCGTAGTCTGTCTGAGTTGTCAAAAAATAAAATTTCGTTTCTGACAATTTATACCGGGTGTCTGGAAATTCGAAATTGCAATTTGAGAAATTTTGATACTGAAAAACTTCAAATTAAGAAACTGAAAAATTAAAAATTCGGAAATTTGAAAAACAAGAAAAACTGAATGATCGAAAAATTGAAACATCAAAAATCGAAACAATGAAAAATTTATAATTAGAAAATTGAATAATCGAAAAATTTTAAACGAAAATGGTAAAAATGAATTAAAAATTAAAAATATCGGAAAATTGACGAATTTATAAACTGAATAATTTAAAATGGAAAACTAAAAAAAATTGCTGAAAAATCGAGAAACTAAAAAATAAAAGAGAATTACCCAAAATTTTATAAGTTGAGGAATGGAAAAATGGAAAACAAAAAAAAATGAAAAAATTTGAAAATGGAAAAATCGGGAAATCGAAGAAACACTGAAAGATTGAAAAATAAAAAAAATCGAAATTTGCAATTTGAAAAATTTTGATATTGAAAAACTTTAAATTAAGAAACTGAAAAATCAAAAATCGAAAAATTAAAAATTCGGAAAATCGAAGAACAGGAAAACTGAACGATCGAAAAATTGAAACATCAAAAATCGAAAAATTGAATGATCGAAAATAGTAAAAATGAATTAATTTAAAAATTAAAAATATCGCAAAATTGACGAATTCAAAAACTGAACAGTTTAACATGGAAAACTAGAAAAATAGCTAAACGAAAAATTGAAAATCGGGAAATTAAAAAATAAAAGAGAGAAACCGAAAATTTTACAAGTTGAGGAATCGAAAAATGGAAAACAAAAAAAAAATGAAAAAACAAACAACTCGAAAATTGCAAATCGAAAATCTGAAGAAACAAGAAATTGAGAATCGAAAAATGAAAGTATCGAAAAATTCGAAAGTTGCAAAATCGAAAAATTAAAAAATCGTAAAATAAAATTTAAAAAATTTGAAAATGGAAAAATCAGGAAATCGAAGAAACACTGAAAGATTGAAAAATAAAAAAATTCGAAATTTGCAATTTGAAAAATTTTGATATTGAAAAACTTTAAATTAAGAAACTGAAAAATCAAAAATCGAAAAATGAAAAATTCGGAAAATCGAAGAACAGGAGAACTGAACGATCGAAAAATTGAAACATCAAAAATCGAAAAATTGAATGATCGAAAATAGTAAAAATGAATTAATTTAAAAATTAAAAATATCGCAAAATCGACGAATTCAAAAACTGAACAGTTTAACATGGAAAACTAGAAAAATAACTAAACGAAAAATTGCAAATCGGGAAACTAAAAAATAAAAGAGAAAAACCGAAAATTTTACAAATTGAGGAATCAAAAAATGGAAAACAAAAAAAAATTAAAAAACAAAGAACTCGAAAATTGCAAATCGAGAATCTGAAGAAACAAGAAATTGAGAATAGAAAAATGAAAGTATCGAAAAATTCGAAAGTTGCAAAATCGAAAAATTAAAAAATCGTAAAATAAAATTTAAAAAATTTGAAAATGGAAAAATCGGGAAATCGAAGAAACACTGAAAGATTGAAAAATAAAAAAAATCGAAATTTGCAATTTGAAAAATTTTGATATTGAAAAACTTTAAATTAAGAAACTGAAAAATCAAAAATCGAAAAATGAAAAATTCGGAAAATCGAAGAACAGGAGAACTGAACGATCGAAAAATTGAAACATCAAAAATCGAAAAATTGAATGATCGAAAATAGTAAAAATGAATTAATTTAAAAATTAAAAATATCGCAAAATTGACGAATTCAAAAACTGAACAGTTTAACATGGAAAACTAGAAAAATAACTAAACGAAAAATTGAAAATCGGGAAACTAAAAAATAAAAGAGAAAAACCGAAAATTTTACAAATTGAGGAATCGAAAAATGGAAAACAAAAAAAAATTAAAAAACAAACAACTCGAAAATTGCAAATCGAAAATCTGAAGAAACAAGAAATTGAGAATAGAAAAATGAAAGTATCGAAAAATTCGAAAGTTGCAAAATCGAAAAATTAAAAAATCGTAAAATAAAATTTAAAAAATTTGAAAATGGAAAAATCGGGAAATCGAAGAAACACTGAAAGATTGAAAAATAAAAAAAATCGAAATTTGCAATTTGAAAAATTTTGATATTGAAAAACTTTAAATTAAGAAACTGAAAAATCAAAAATCGAAAAATGAAAAATTCGGAAAATCGAAGAACAGGAGAACTGAACGATCGAAAAATTGAAACATCAAAAATCGAAAAATTGAATGATCGAAAATAGTAAAAATGAATTAATTTAAAAATTAAAAATATCGCAAAATTGACGAATTCAAAAACTGAACAGTTTAACATGGAAAACTAGAAAAATAACTAAACGAAAAATTGAAAATCGGGAAACTAAAAAATAAAAGAGAAAAACCGAAAATTTTACAAATTGAGGAATCGAAAAATGGAAAACAAAAAAAAATTAAAAAACAAAGAACTCGACAATTGCAAATCGAAAATCTGAAGAAACAAGAAATTGAGAATAGAAAAATGAAAGTATCGAAAAATTCGAAAGTTGCAACATCGAAAAATTAAAAAATCGTAAAATAAAATTAAAAAAATTTGAAAATGGAAAAATCGGGAAATCGAAGAAACACTGAAAGATTGAAAAATTTAAAAAATCGAAATTTGCAATTTGAAAAATTTTGATATTGAAAAACTTTAAATTAAGAAACTGAAAAATTAAAAATCGAAAAATTAAAAATTCGGAAAATCGAAGAACAGGAGAACTGAACGATCGAAAAATTGAAACATCAAAAATCGAAAAATTGAATGATCGAAAATAGTAAAAATGAATTAATTTGAAAATTAAAAATATCGCAAAATTGACGAATTCAAAAACTGAATAGTTTAACATGGAAAACTAGAAAAATAGCTAAACGAAAAATTGAAAATCGAGAAACTAAAAAATAAAAGAGAAAAACCGAAAATTTTACAAGTTGAGGAATCGAAAAATGGAAAACTAAAAAAAATGAAAAAACAAAGAACTCGAAAATTGCAAATCGAAAATCTGAAGAAACAAGAAACTGAGAATAGAAAAATGAAAGTATCGAAAAATTCGAAAGTTGCAAAATCGAAAAATTAAAAAATCGTAAAATAAAATTTAAAAAATTTGAAAATGGAAAAATCGGGAAATCGAAGAAACACTGAAAGATTGAAAAATAAAAAAAATCGAAATTTGCAATTTGAAAAATTTTGATATTGAAAAACTTTAAATTAAGAAACTGAAAAATCAAAAATCGAAAAATGAAAAATTCGGAAAATCGAAGAACAGGAGAACTGAACGATCGAAAAATTGAAACATCAAAAATCGAAAAATTGAATGATCGAAAATAGTAAAAATGAATTAATTTAAAAATTAAAAATATCGCAAAATTGACGAATTCAAAAACTGAACAGTTTAACATGGAAAACTAGAAAAATAACTAAACGAAAAATTGAAAATCGGGAAACTAAAAAATAAAAGAGAAAAACCGAAAATTTTACAAATTGAGGAATCGAAAAATGGAAAACAAAAAAAAATTAAAAAACAAAGAACTCGACAATTGCAAATCGAAAATCTGAAGAAACAAGAAATTGAGAATCGAAAAATGAAAGTATCGAAAAATTCGAAAGTTGCAAAATCGAAAAATTAAAAAATCGTAAAATAAAATTTAAAAAATTTGAAAATGGAAAAATCGGGAAATCGAAGAAACACTGAAAGATTGAAAAATAAAAAAAATCGAAATTTGCAATTTGAAAAATTTTGATATTGAAAAACTTTAAATTAAGAAACTGAAAAATCAAAAATCGAAAAATTAAAAATTCGGAAAATCGAAGAACAGGAAAACTGAACGATCGAAAAATTGAAACATCAAAAATCGAAAAATTGAATGATCGAAAATAGTAAAAATGAATTAATTTAAAAATTAAAAATATCGCAAAATTGACGAATTCAAAAACTGAACAGTTTAACATGGAAAACTAGAAAAATAACTAAACGAAAAATTGAAAATCGGGAAACTAAAAAATAAAAGAGAAAAACCGAAAATTTTACAAATTGAGGAATCGAAAAATGGAAAACAAAAAAAAATTAAAAAACAAACAACTCGAAAATTGCAAATCGAAAATCTGAAGAAACAAGAAACTGAGAATAGAAAAATGAAAGTATCGAAAAATTCGAAAGTTGCAAAATCGAAAAATTAAAAAATCGTAAAATAAAATTTAAAAAATTTGAAAATGGAAAAATCGGGAAATCGAAGAAACACTGAAAGATTGAAAAATAAAAAAAATCGAAATTTGCAATTTGAAAAATTTTGATATTGAAAAACTTTAAATTAAGAAACTGAAAAATCAAAAATCGAAAAATTAAAAATTCGGAAAATCGAAGAACAGGAAAACTGAACGATCGAAAAATTGAAACATCAAAAATCGAAAAATTGAATGATCGAAAATAGTAAAAATGAATTAATTTAAAAATTAAAAATATCGCAAAATTGACGAATTCAAAAACTGAACAGTTTAACATGGAAAACTAGAAAAATGGCTAAACGAAAAATTGAAAATCGGGAAACTAAAAAATAAAAGAGAAAAACCGAAAATTTTACAAGTTGAGGAATCGAAAAATGGAAAACAAAAAAAAATTAAAAAACAAAGAACTCGACAATTGCAAATCGAAAATCTGAAGAAACAAGAAATTGAGAATAGAAAAATGAAAGTATCGAAAAATTCGAAAGTTGCAAAATCGAAAAATTAAAAAATCGTAAAATAAAATTTAAAAAATTTGAAAATGGAAAAATCGGGAAATCGAAAAAACACTGAAAGATTGAAAAATAAAAAAAATCGAAATTTGCAATTTGAAAAATTTTGATATTGAAAAACTTTAAATTAAGAAACTGAAAAATCAAAAGTCGAAAAATTAAAAATTCGGAAAATCGAAGAACAGGAGAACTGAACGATCGAAAAATTGAAACATCAAAAATCGAAAAATTGAATGATCGAAAATAGTAAAAATGAATTAATTTAAAAATTAAAAATATCGCAAAATTGACGAATTCAAAAACTGAACAATTTAACATGGAAAACTAGAAAAATGGCTAAACGAAAAATTGAAAATCGAGAAACTAAAAAATAAAAGAGAAAAACCGAAAATTTTACAAGTTGAGGAATCGAAAAATGGAAAACAAAAAAAAATGAAAAAACAAACAACTCGAAAATTGCAAATCGAAAATCTGAAGAAACAAGAAATTGAGAATAGAAAAATGAAAGTATCGAAAAATTCGAAAGTTGCAAAATCGAAAAATTAAAAAATCGTAAAATAAAATTTAAAAAATTTGAAAATGGAAAAATCGGGAAATCGAAGAAACACTGAAAGATTGAAAAATAAAAAAAAATCGAAATTTGCAATTTGAAAAATTTTGATATTGAAAAACTTTAAATTAAGAAACTGAAAAATCAAAAATCGAAAAATTAAAAATTCGGAAAATCGAAGAACAGGAGAACTGAACGATCGAAAAATTGAAACATCAAAAATCGAAAAATTGAATGATCGAAAATAGTAAAAATGAATGAATTTAAAAATTAAAAATATCGCAAAATTGACGAATTCAAAAACTGAACAGTTTAACATGGAAAACTAGAAAAATAACTAAACGAAAAATTGAAAATCGGGAAACTAAAAAATAAAAGAGAAAAACCGAAAATTTTACAAATTGAGGAATCGAAAAATGGAAAACAAAAAAAATTAAAAAACAAAGAACTCGACAATTGCAAATCGAAAATCTGAAGAAACAAGAAATTGAGAATAGAAAAATGAAAGTATCGAAAAATTCGAAAGTTGCAAAATCGAAAAATTAAAAAATCGTAAAATAAAATTAAAAAAATTTGAAAATGTAAAAATCGGGAAATCGAAGAAACACTGAAAGATTGAAAAATTAAAAAAATCGAAATTTGCAATTTGAAAAATTTTGATATTGAAAAACTTTAAATTAAGAAACTGAAAAATCAAAAATCGAAAAATTAAAAATTCGGAAAATCGAAGAACAGGAAAACTGAACGATCGAAAAATTGAAACATCAAAAATCGAAAAATTGAATGATCAAAAATAGTAAAAATGAATTAATTTAAAAATTAAAAATATCGCAAAATTGACGAATTCAAAAACTGAACAGTTTAACATGGAAAGCTAGAAAAATGGCTAAACGAAAAATTGAAAATCGAGAAACTAAAAAATAAAAGAGAAAAACCGAAAATTTTACAAGTTGAGGAATCGAAAAATGGAAAACAAAAAAAAATTAAAAAACAAAGAACTCGACAATTGCAAATCGAAAATCTGAAGAAACAAGAAATTGAGAATAGAAAAATGAAAGTATCGAAAAATTCGAAAGTTGCAACATCGAAAAATTAAAAAATCGTAAAATAAAATTAAAAAAATTTGAAAATGGAAAAATCGGGAAATCGAAGAAACACTGAAAGATTGAAAAATTTAAAAAATCGAAATTTGCAATTTGAAAAATTTTGATATTGAAAAACTTTAAATTAAGAAACTGAAAAATCAAAAATCGAAAAATGAAAAATTCGGAAAATCGAAGAAGAGGAGAACTGAACGATCGAAAAATTGAAACATCAAAAATCGAAAAATTGAATGATCGAAAATAGTAAAAATGAATTAATTTAAAAATTAAAAATATCGCAAAATTGACGAATTCAAAAACTGAACAATTTAACATGGAAAACTAGAAAAATGGCTAAACGAAAAATTGAAAATCGAGAAACTAAAAAATAAAAGAGAAAAACCGAAAATTTTACAAGTTGAGGAATCGAAAAATGGAAAACAAAAAAAAATGAAAAAACAAACAACTCGAAAATTGCAAATCGAAAATCTGAAGAAACAAGAAACTGAGAATCGAAAAATGAAAGTATCGAAAAATTCGAAAGTTGCAAAATCGAAAAATTAAAAAATCGTAAAATAAAATTTAAAAAATTTGAAAATGGAAAAATCGGGAAATCGAAGAAACACTGAAAGATTGAAAAATTAAAAAATTCGAAATTTGCAATTTGAAAAATTTTGATATTGAAAAACTTTAAATTAAGAAAACAAAAAAAAAAATTAAAAAACAAACAACTCGAAAATTGCAAATCGAAAATCTGTAGACACAAGAAATTGAGAATCGAAAAATGAAAGTATCGAAAAATTCGAAAGTTGCAAAATCGAAAAATTGGAAACATTTGAAATTGAAAGTTCCAAAAACTATTAATTGAGAAACTGAAAAATCGAAGGAATAAAAAAACAATAAAAAAATTAATGGAAGACTTTTTTAAATTCGTAAAAAATAAAACACTGCTTAAGAGCGTAACGTAGAGTTAATCCGCCATTTTCCAGACACCCGGTATATATTTTTTTGGTGTTATTACAAGATAGACGGATTTGACATGATCTAGATGGTCACTACAGTGTATAGTATGTAAGAGTAGATGTTGAGAACTCGCTTATGGTTAAAGATATTAAAATGACAAAGCGTAAGCGAGTTCAAATTTGTGTGATTTATAAAACCCCTCAATGTCTTTGATATTTTCTTTTCCACTTTCGTGTATACACATTTCCATTTTCAAAAAAAAAAAAACATCCAAATACAGAAATTGTAAAAATCTTCGAAACCATTTGAGTTGCGTCGTTCTCAAATCCTTTCGAAAAAATTAATCCTAAGATGAATTCGCTTGCTCCATTTCACGGTTTTATTTTTCGATGTTTTCCCACAGATACATCGAAATATTCAGAAGCAGTTTATCTGAAGTGAATAGCGTCTTGGGCTACTCAGGTCGACGAGGTGGTTCCAATTCTGGCATGTACAATTCCAGACCGAGTCCATACGATCGTGGAGATAGGTTTGGGAACTCTAATAGATTCCAATCTAGAGGCTCCCGAAATTTCAAAGGAGCAAATTTTTCGAATAATGCAGAATATAACAATTACGATAGAGGGTCGAACTGGATGGGCAATAACCAGAACGGAAACGATACTAGAGGAGGGGCGCGCAGCCCCTACGAGATCGATTCGTGGGGCGAGACCAACCAAACAACCGGAGAGAGAAGCGGCATGCATTGCGTGCACATGAGGGGGCTGCCGTTCAAGGCCACGGCCGCCGACATAAGTGAAGTACGTTGAAAATTAATGCTAAACCATACAGTTTTAACGCAAAAGCAGTTCTTTAAGCCCCTGGTTCCCGTGAACGTGCGCCTGCTCCAGGATCACACAGGTAGGGCTTCGGGGGAGGCCGACGTGGAGTTCGCTTCGCACGATGACGCAATGAGGGCCATGAGCAAGGACAAGGGCCACATGCAACATCGCTACATCGAGTTGTTCTTGAACTCTGCTGATAACGGGGGCTCGGGGTACGGTCGGAGAAGGATGTAATTTTTTCCTCCCATTTTCGTTTGGTAGACTTACGTTTACGATGCCACTAGAAATAATTTTTTCTACCGTATGTTAACAAAGACTTAAAGTATTTATCTAGGTATATATTTTTTTACTTAAATTGTATCTTATTTTTATATTCTGTTTAATGAAAACGTACAATATTGAAGTGAACCGGCCACAAGATTTTTGGGTTGCGAATTTTCGGTTTTTCCATATTGGCTGTGCATGCAATTCGGATTCGTTTCTTTACAGTCGTTTGTTTGTGTGAGTATTGAGTTGGTTGTTTGAAGATGTTGTGAGAACCCTCCATTTTTATTTTTCAGTTTATGATACTAACTGTATAAACAATATGAGCAGTTTTATAAAGCATTACTTTTTAGTATATAAATTATATGGAATATCAGGTTTTTGTTTCATTGATTACCCGATTAGTTCGCAATAGTGGCGCCATCATGTAGTTCAATCAATGATCATAAAAGGTTTTGCCGCTTCGTTGTAATTGTCTTGTCACGTCACAAATATCAATCATAACCTAACTTTTTTTAAATTAAATTTTTATTTTTACATCGTGGTAACTACGCCACTGCTGGGTGAAGTAACTTAGGGAGATTTGGAATGTTTAAAAGCCGTTAAGACGAACTTTATTATTAAAATCTGAGGTTATAAACATCAGTAATCAATACAAACAAAAAACTCGCATTATGAATGTGTATATTGATTCTAAAAATACTCTTTTATAAATATACATGGTCCTACGTCTACACAGGGTTAGATTTTGGTTCATAAGCAAGCTGACCTATCAACAAAAGAAAACGCAGCAAATTCATAGCGCATAGGCATGTCGTACCGACTAGAAACAAAAATTCCAATAAAAGTAATTTATTGTCAATAAAATACAAAGTCCCAACCTACTCTTAGGCTTGAAAACAGGAACAAGAAATAAATAGTAGAAAAAGTGAAGCCTCGTACATGTGCATACAAAAATTAACAAACATTAACATTGAAACAATAAACACGCTTGTTACTTACATTTATAAACTATCGCTTAGTCATGTTGATGCCTACATATGGTTAAGTGCAATAAATAAGTTACTTAAGTACAAACAGCGCCACAAAAACTGGTCATTCCCTAAAAACATACCCTGTACTTAGCCCTTGCTTTGGTCTAGCATTTGTGGCGCCCCCTGCACTCGTTTCGTTATTGCCTTGTCTGGAAAAAAATACAAGCATTAAAGAGATACGTAGAAAGAGAACAGGCGACGCGACACGCTCATCGAGCCTCCTTTGCCGTCAATTTATCGATCAATTCCTGCAGAGGCGCCTGCTCCCGTCTCTCAATTAAACTAAATTCCTAAAAAACAAAACCAAACTTACGCCGTAACTCCAACAGGAAATCTTGACCACATACCTGAACAAAGAATATAAAGTGTTTAAAGGAAGTGTTAAGGTGTGCTTCCTCTCCTAATTGAACGACCTGACTAAAGTGCTGGTGATAAATATGTGCGTATACCCGGAACAACCGTTTTAGGATCGTTTTCGCTATCGAGAGAAAATTTTTTGGGAAGGGGACCCCTAAAATCGATCACACTAACAAATGCAAATAATGTCGCCAAAACGCACCTATTTTTGACGGGAAAAGCGTCTCGTCGTCCAGCTGATCCTGAACCCATGTCATGAGATAGTCAATATATTTGGGGGCTGAACACTTAATGGGTTTTTTTACTGTGTGTCCGTCCGCCCAGTGGTACTCATATTTAGGGCCTGCAGACATGATGGGGCAACTTTCCTCTGTACAAAACTCTGTTATAGTGCCATATAACATATTGATTTGGTTAAAGAAGTCCACAGCTGAAAAAACATCGGTTATTATTTACACACCGAAATTTGTAATGTCGTACTATTAACAGCGACCCATTCATTTAAATCCTCGCCCTCTGGTAACATCACAGCAAGCCTCAAGTTCCCTGAACCTAAGGTGGCTGCTGCATGTTTCATCAGCTCATACTGATGAGTACCTTCGGGGATGTTCTTTTTTGGCTTGAAAGTCTTGGAAGAACGGCTGCCACTAAAATCAACTTTAGCAAAACGCAAACTAGCGAAATCTACTACTTACAAAAGGAAACTCATATTAAATGCCCACTTTTCACAACAAAAATAAAACAACAAGGATATCAAGAGTTGGCGGTTTTAAGGCTTCAGTTAATGTAGATCACAGAATATTTATCAAAATGGGACACAATCACAGCGCATAAACCCATAATCCATAGACCATAAAGAAATTATTCACAAGAAAGTTCTTATCGGATCCATACCATTTTTGATGACCTCTAACATCAGCTGTCAAAAATTGCCACCAATCAGAGGCCGATTCACCGGCGCTACGTTTGAATTCATTTCAGATTTTAATAAACCCAACGACAAGTGGCACTAGTTTTCACTAAATAACCCCCAAATGCAACCACAACTCGCTCGAAATTGCCGTGTTTGTTTATTCCGTGCAGTTGTTGTGTTATTTCACTTACGAAAAAATTCGTTTGGTTTCTTCACGGTGCTACGTTGGCAGCTATGGTTTTTGTTTTTGTTGGCACTCTAACTAACCTTACTTTTTGAGCATATTTTTAAAAAAGTGCCGTGTCTTGTGTTTTAACTTAAAATTTGTGTGTAAGTACGCGTTTGTTGCGTCAGTGCGTACACTTTTTCTATTTTTTTTATGTTTGCAGAGTGGTTTGTTTGATGTGACTTTTAATATCAGCATTTTTGTTTCTTGGAAATGGCTTCGGTGTCTGATCTTAAATTTATTTCGGAATACCACCTGTGCCCCCCAGATTCCGACCTAAATATTCTTTTAGAGCAAGTGGATCAATGCAACAGCGATCCTAATTACAAGGAGTTAATTGATAAAGTTGTAAGTTTGTGGGTTGAGCTTTGGCACAGCTGTACTTTTTGTCGAATTCATTTTTTATCTTGGTTAGTTACAAGGCGAAAAAACGGAATTATTTTCACTCGAGTTCATTACGAAAGATTGGTGATTTTTTTGTAAAAAGTTTTCCCTTTTTTTGTTTTTATTGAGCACTGTTTATTGTTTTGGGTCATCAGTTATTTAATCTTTTTTATTTCGTTGCAGTTGTCTAGATGCGCGAAAGAGTACAATACCTCGAACGGCCCCTACATCAGAAACGTCGTTATAGAATATTTTAATCGCTCTGGCTGTCGCAAGAATCTAAGAAAATACATGTATGAAAGATTAAATTCACAAATCGTAGGCGAGAATACCTTGTTTGAATATGTCGTGAAAAGCGTGATAAGTGAGATCCAAGAGAACATAAACAATTTAAACATTTTTACAATAAGGCTGTGTTATAAAACTTTAGTTTTTTTGGGGAATTTCACGTGCAATTTCACCAGTGGTGAGAAGCATTCTTACGTATTGGATAACGTGTTCCCGTTTTATTTGTGCATCATGGAAGTGTATAATAGTCAATTATTGTAAGGTTTTAATTAATTACTTGTTCGAACTTGACACGTTTTTTTTTAGTAACAATAATTTCTGTCGAGACGGTTCTACAGAAAAAAGTATTTTAGAATACGAAGATTGTTACGGTATCTTAAATATCACTCTCCAACAACTGTCCTCATCTATGTCAAAAGCGAAATTTAAAGCTTTAAATATTATTGCTGCGAAAATGGTCATAATGACCCACGAAATCTTACAATTCCATAGTCAATTAAAGTTTGATAGCATATCTAAATGTGCTCTTTTATTAGCACATTGTTGCACTTGTTTACCTGAGGAAGAAATCGAGCTTTTGGTAAGTTTTCACGTCAACGAAATTTTCGCTGATTTTGTCGTTGAAGAAATACAAAGAACAACCATTGGTGGATTTTCTGGATAACCCGGACAACGATTATTGCATGGTTTTGAAAAGCAAGACTCTCACTAACATATTCACTACACCCCCAATGAAAGTTGTTTTAAACCTAGTTGTGTATATCACACTCGGAGAAACAAGATATTTTAGTGTAAAAGTCGCAGGAATGACGCTTCTGGAATTCGTATTTCGCAATTTTCTGGATCTGGGAGTGGAGTAAAATTTTTTTGTAATAATTGTTCCCCAAAATTTTCGTTATTTGTTTGTAGGATGTCAAGTCATCAAGACGAGATTGTACCTATTAGTAGAGCTTTAAGTGGGTTGGGTAAATTCATCTATCAGCTGGAAAGATTTCCTGAATTGTTTGATATGGCTTTAAATTTTGTTTGGGATCATTTAGACCATTTTATGGAAATCGTAGTTACCAGTATGAAGAATCTTTTGATGACTTTAACTAAGGAGTCATTAATTCGGCTCCAAAAAGGTAAGACGCAAGAATTATTTTATAGTATTCTATACTGCGTTAAGTAAAATTAGTATTTCAAATTAATCTCTAATAGGGTCGGGCTGTCTTTTTAAAAATTTGGTTGGTAATACCATTGTTTAAGTATATTATAGTTGGACAACCTATACGGACAATCACTTTCCCATGTAGAATAGAATGAATATATATTTTACATCTCACTCGCTTCACTATGAAGTGGCGGTACCTTACGAAAGGGGGTAAAAATAGTCCGTAAGCACGTGATGTCGATAAGGTAGTAAACGGACGTATTAATCACTACGTTGTACGGGGAGCAGTCACAAAATAAGCAAACGTACGTGTTGAAGACTTTACTGTAATATATGTATATGTAGTGCATACCTGTTTCAAGGTTAAGGTAACAAAAATTTAATATTATCGCGGTATACCTATTATCCATGAACTGCATGGCTAACAAATATGCGTCCCTTCGTCCACTTTAAAGGTATACGAAATTAAACGACTACTACTTTAATTAATAAGTAACAAGTCATCTAATTTGCCTCCAGAATAACTATGGATTATCATCAAACTATGAACACCAAATTCATTCAATATGAACATCTTGTTACGTATTTTTTTTATTAATAGTAGTCAAATCATTAAATACATATTATTTTTGAAACTAAAATGCATTTTATCCTAACACTGTATCACAAAATATTCATCACCATTTAAATATATACGATTTAGACATCAAGAAATAAATTTAAAATTGCAAAAATTATACTAAAACAGCCTTAAATGTGTCTTATCAGTATGTAGGCATTTTAACGCACAGCAATAATCGTTCTTGATGAGTAATGACTGATGACTACTGTAACACAGTAAATCCTCGAAATCGAAAATTTAAAACACTGAAAAATTCAAATATGGGAAAATTGTAAAATCGAGAAATCGAAACATAAAAAAATCAAAAAATTAAAATTGGAAAATCTAAAAATTAAAAACCGAGAAATTGAACAATCGGTTAATTCAAAAATCGAAACATCGAAAAATTGGAAAATCGAAAAATAAAAAAAAATTGGACAATCGAAAATTTAAAAATTCCGAAAATTGAAAAATTGAAATATAGAGAACTGAAAACTCAAAAAATCGAAAAAAAATAATAATTTCAAAAATCGAAAAGTTAAAATTGAGAAATCGAAAAACTGAAAAATCACAAAATTGAACGAAATATCAAAAAATTAGGAAATTAAAAAATTGAGAAACAAAAAAGTCAAAAAAGCAGAGTCTAAAAATCGCAAACTTAAAAAATCGAAAAATTGAAAAATCAAAAACCTGAATAATCGAAAAATTGAAGAACTGAAGAACTGAAAAATCGAAACTTTAGGAAGTGGAGAAATGGTAATATAAAAAAATAGATTAATTGAGAAATCCGAAAACTAAAAATTCAGAAACGTCAAAATTTGAAAAATAAAAAAATAGTGAAGAACTAAAAAATCGAAAAATTTAAAATTTAAAACACTGAAAAGTTAAAATATCCTAAAACTGAAAAATGGAGAAATCCAAACATCAAAAAATCAAAAATAAAAATAAAATTAAAAATCTAAAATTTAATAATCGAAAAACTGAAAAATCAACGAATCGAGAAGTCGAGAATTTAAAAATTGGACAATTGAAAAATCGGATAAATCAAAAATCGAAACATCCAAAAATCAAGAAACCGAAAAGCAAAAAATCGAAAAACCAACAAATCGAAAAATCGAAACATTGTAAAATTCAAAAATTGAGACATCGAGAAATCGAAAAATCAAAAAATTGAGAAACCGAAGTAGGCCAAAATCGAGAAATCGAAAACTTAAATATGGAAAAATTGATAAAGCGAGATTGAATAATCAAAACATCGAAACATCCGAATCTCAATGAATTGAGATCTCAAAAAATTTAAACATTCGTAAATTTAAAAAATTAAAATATAGAACTGGAAACTCGAGAAACTGAAAAATCTAGAAGAAAAAAAGTTGAAAAATTGAGAAATTGAAATAAAAAACAAAAAACTGAAAATCCAAAAATAAAAAATAGAAAAATCTAGAAGTCGAAAAATGAAAGAATCGAAGTATTGAAAAATATCAAAACTGAAAGAAATATCCAAAAATTGAGAAATCGACAAACCAATAAAGCGAAGTCGAAAAATCGAAGAATTGAAGAACTGAAAAATCGAAACTTTGAGAAGTGGGAAAATCAAAAATAGATTAATTGAGAAATCAGAAAACTGAAAATTTAACGCAAAAATTTGAAAAATTCAAAAATTTAAATACTGAAGAACTGAAAAGTCAAAAAATCGAGAAATCGAAAAAACTAAAATTTAAAACAATGAATAATTAAAATATCGCAAAATTGAAGAATCGAGAGATCCAATTCAATTTGAAAAATTAAAAAATCGGGGCATTGAAAAATTGGAAAATCCAGAAATTGAAAATCTCAAAAGAAAAAAATCGAAACATCGAGAAATTGAGGAGTCGGAAGCCGAAAAGGAAAGTTAAAAATTGAAAAATTGAGAAATTGAACAATCAAAACAACGAAACATCTGAATTCGATAAATTAAGAAATTAAAAAATTGAATAATCGAAAAATTTTAAAAAAGAAAAACTGGAAAATCAAAAATTAAAATTCAAAAAATCGAAAAATGAAAAATTGAAATATAGAAGAACTGAAAACTCGAGATATCGAAAAACCTAGAATTTTAAAAAATGAAATATTAAAACATCGAAAAGTTTAAAAATTGAGAAATCGAAGCATTAAACAGTCCCAGAATTGAAAAATCTAAAGTTTACAATAAATTGAAAATCCAAAAAGGAAAAAGCGAGAAATCAAAAAAAATCCATCAATTCAAAAATCGAAAAGTCGAAAAATTGAAATATTGAAAAATTTCATAACTGAAAGAAATATTCAAAAAATTGAGAAATTAAAAAATTGGAAAATTGAGAAATCGAAAATCTAAAAAAGCAAAATTGAAAAATCGTAATCTTAAAAAATCGAAAAATTGAGGAATTGAAGATGTGAAAAATCGAAACTTTAGGAAATCCAGAAATGGACAAATAAAAAAAATACTTTAGAAATCGGCAAACTGAAAATTTGAAAAATTGAAAAATCGAAATATTTAAAAACCGTAAAATTGAAGAGGACAAAAATTGAGAAATCGTATCATTGAAACATCGTAAGATTGAGAAATCGAAAAATAAAAAAATCGAGAAATAGAAAATTTAAGGAATGGAGGAATCGGAAAAGCCCAAAATTGAAATATTGAAAAATTGAGACATTTAAAGTTGAAAAATCGAGAAATCGACAAGCCGAAAAATCCCAATAGCGTATTTAGGTATAAATCACAAGATCAGGACTATTCTACTTTTTAAAATTTAAATACATAACATTATAAATTGGAAAATGTTGATTTTTTTTTTCCAAAAATCTTGACGTCTAAGGTGAAAACTCGACACGGATGCATAAACCGTAAACGGGGCGAAACTACAATTTTACTATTGTAAAATTTGGAGACTGCGTCATTTCATTGTTCGTGACAAATTTTGGAGAGTGTAATTTGATAATACAGTTTGAAATGTAAATTTTGTCATTCGGGAACATTATGTATTAAATCGTTAAGATGTTCAAGAACTTTGTTCACTTATTCGTTGTAAAGTCCAATGGTCGAAATGGGTTAGTTCTTCGTAGTGGATGTATTGTATCACATCAACTCTAACGAATATCGGTTTATAGATAAATCGCTTAAAGCCGATATTGGCCTGAGTGAGCTTTGGTCTGTAGATCAAACAAGTTCTCAGGCGACGAAAAATTGCATGTGGAGGGAGACTTCGGATTACAAATCGTGCCAAGAAAGACATATTTGGGAGAGATGGATTTTCAGGTGCTTGACTAGCGGTAATTTTAAATTGTTTGCTGTCGTTCGCGAAGTGAAGAACACAATTTTATTAAAATGATAATTATAAAATTATCATAATCACTATTGGTGTTAATTAACACAAAATGGCGCGCAAATTATCAGTTGATTTCGTTAATAAATTCATAGAAACCTATATGGGATTTTTTCATGCCTTAGAAAATTAAAAAGTAAAAAATACAATGACAAAAATTTTAAAATGCGGTTTACGAAAAATTAGTTGACCTGTGCAAAGAATAAAATTTTGGAAACGCTGACAAATATGACATCTTAAAAAAAAATAACACTTGAAGAAGTGCTTTCGGCGTAATATTTTTGATGCTCGCGTGAACAAAATACTCTATATCAGTGTGCAGTGCGCAAAGAGTTAACTGTGCAGATCTAGCCGAAAATCCGAAAACCAAATCGTTGTGTGTAGGGCCAGCATAACGGAAGTAATAAATCATCCCACCGGTTGAAGAACGTTGGGTTGGTGCACTGATATCGGTGTTATATCCCGAGAGGGGCCCAATACACCCAATAAAATGGAACAGACAAAATAAAGCTTCAAACATAATTATTTTTATACTAAAATTCTGAAGTTTATAAACTGCACAGTTTATTTATTTATTTATTTATTTATTTATTTATTTATTTTATCTTGTTTTCGAACTATAATAAACATTTCAAACAATGTCTGTAACTTATTTTAATGTAAATTATATTCATTTGGTTAACAAATCAGATGTAATATTAGTGTGATTTTGACCTTATTCTAGATTTTATTACAGCAGAACGGCGTATATTTTTAAATTTTAGAAGTTACGGAAACTAGTTCAAGAAACAATTAGTTATCTCGTATTTTTGGAACAAAATCTACCAAAATTTCCGATAACAGCAATTGTTTTTCATAGAAACAAACAGTCTTCAAAGCAGCCTTTAACAATTCGATATTACAAACATGCCTCTTAAGTTCTTAATGCGTTTTTTTCTCTCTTGTAATTATTTGTAATGTTAACGCCGAAAGTTTATGTCATTCTGTTATTTACTTTGAACATATATTTTCATTTTGTGTTAATATTTTTGTAACACCACGAATCTAAATTTTACTTAAAATCTTGTTTTACTTTAATCTTGTAAAACTAAACAATTATACCAGTTTAAAAACCCTTGGAAAGTTTCTGTCAGTCTTCAGATATAGTCAAATAAAAATATGCGTCAAATTCATTTAAATTCAATTCTTTCTATTCACGTTACAACGCGTTGCTTCATATTTTTTATGTCAAGTATATTTTCATATTTTGTACATGTATGTTTATACACATTACTGTTTACGGAACAATGTTAATTATGGATTTATGGATAACTCCTCGTATAAGAGCAGAGTAAAGGGTGTTTGCCTTTGCTAATGTTTGATGGCGCCATCTGATTTAGAGTAAAATAAAACTAATACGTTGGCTTACTGTAGTGAAAATGCGCGTTGACGAAAAATTTGTCCCACGCCCCCTGGATTCCTTGTCCTAAAGCTCACTATTTAGGCGAAGTAAAATTTGTATTAGGTTGTCCAACTATAATATACGTAAACAATGGTAATACTTTCATATGAATGTCATAATCGTTATTAGTTATGGCCCTCTAGTAAGCCATTATTTTTAAAATAATGATGTTGGCAATACAAGTTTGACAAGTAACTGTCAGTTTCAACATCATTGTTTTAAAAATAAATCTATCTACTGGCCGATTTTTTTTGACCATACTATGAGCAGGGGAGGACCACTACCTGGCACAGATCTACGCGGGCCTAAACTGCCTGCCGGTTTTCAGCAGACTCCGCGTCACCGCATTACTCTGTGTCAGTCAGATCCTCAACAGCGAGCTCATTGTTGCCAACTGTCCACATGTTCAAAGCCACCTACTGACTCTTTGTACAACCTCTGCCACCGAGCGAGAAACGGTAGGTACAACCCGAAAAAACTCCATGTCTCCTCACGATTAACACCCGCAGGCTGGCCAAGCTTACATCAACATGTTGAGAAGCAGCTTCCAAAATCAGTCAGAAGACGACGTCATACGAATGTGGCTCCGACCCGGTCTGAACGCCCTCAGACAACCAAACTGCAAATACACGAACGTCCTTTCATCAATCGTAGCCAACGCCTTCGACTTAAAACCGACAATCCTTCGGAAATTGTTTTCGCCGAAAACCGCCGGCACCGGAAACGAGTGCGTCATTCTTTTGAGGTGTATACATAACGCGAGGATGAAGGGGATTTCGATACCGATGGACCCGGAGGTCAACCAGAGTCATTATTGGAGGAACTACATCGTGAAGGCCAAACTGGAGTTGTACATGATACACCAGCGAGAGGATGTGCGTAGTAGTACCGTTTGTTTTGTTGTCATTTTTTTTTGCTTTAAAAATTACAATTATCGTCGTTATGATCGAAAACAAGTCATGTAGTAGGCCATGAAATTTATTTTTGAAATATTGATGTTGGTAGTATTTGACACTTGAATTTCAAAGGTTGCTAGACGACTTTGTAAATCAGTTTAGATAGTGTAAATTTTACCCCAAAATTGGGGTTGTAGATGTCACTGCAATTGCTCAATTCTTCAGGTGCGCGCCGCCGCCCTCCAAGTCGTGGCCGAGTGCCACAAAACCACCGAAGAGTTCACCGAGTGGGAGCTCCAGTTCATCATCCAGTACTTCGAGTGCAACGTCGGTTTACTAACCCCCTCAACTCGAAATCGTGTCGCCAACTACTTTAAGAAAATCCTCACCCGCTTCAGCGTCACCGACCAAAACGTGCACAAACGTCAAACCAGGTTGAAAGCCATCCTGAAAAGGCCTCCTGTGACCGAGGAGGAAACCGCCGCCCACGAAGAAGCCAGAGCCCAGTGGGAGGAATGTAAAACCGTCGTCGAATCCTACAGATATTTCTTCAAACACTTACTGCGACTACTCACGTTCTACCTCAGCCCCGACGCCAACGCCACCCGAAGAGCCACCTGCTTGGAGCTCCTCATGTTCGTGCGGGGGTTCGCCGGTCGAGATCTGTGGCAAAAGTGCGCTTCAATCATGATTTTTTTTTGTACTAAATCGTTGTTTCAGCGCGTTCCAGCAAGACGAAATTCGCAACTTGAAGCACTTGCTGAACGACGGGTATGAGAGTAACAAGGCGATGGCGGTGGCGCTGCTGCGGACGCTGCCTGCGGCGGCTATAGGTTTCGACAACGAAGAGAACACCCGCAGGTTCTTTGACAAGTGCTTGGATATGGCGTGCGATATTCGCCCCAGTCAAAGTGTTTCGGCCAGTTACATGTTTCAAGTCATTCTTCAATCAGAATTTCCTTTCAGGACTCACGACCGCAGCACTATGGAACTGACTAATAAAAGTCAGTGCTTGATGCTGATCGACATGACGGAGAAACTCGAGAGCATGTTCGCCTCGAGTAAGCAAAACGTCGTCGAGGCGGCGAAGTCGACGCCGTTTTACGGTTTGTTGTTGAGTTGTAGGAATTTGTTGCAGAACAGGGACATCCGGTAAGTTAGACAAAAGCAGCTTCGCCTCGTTGTATAACTTCTTGTAGAGAGGATAACCACGTGTACTCTTTCATTTTTCATAAGTTGGCCGACCTGTGCCTAACGATGAAGAACCACATAATGCCGGTGGTTTGTAACACGTCACCAGAAGGACATATTCCGGATGGGAGTGACGACAGCGACGATAGTTTTTTAGAGTCGGATCAGTCGCCAAGGGCGCAAAGGATTTTGGTTTATTCGTGGAAAACTATGAAAGAGATCATGGCATTGTTGGCCGAACTTGCCAATCAAACTATTACTTTAGAAAACGTCCTTGAAATGTTAGAGGAAGAGTATTTGATAGGAATAGGAGAATTTTTTATGGAAATTTTTATCACGACGAAACATAGGGGCGTGTTTGAGCAGGCACACAACGCGTTTACATCGCTTTGTAGGAGTTTTATTCAGTGAGTGATCATAAATTCTGGTCACACTATATTTTTCTTGTCTTTTTTTTTTGTAGTTCTAAAAGTGAAAAATTAAATAACATGACTGTTACATGGATGAATGAAGGTATAGCTCTCTCTACGGGACAAAAAGTAGATACGAGACTGTGTCCAACCCGACGGAGCGCTGGTTTACCATTCCTAATCCTGGTATGTTAGTTTTGACACAATTTGATCACTATTTTTTTTTTTTTGGCGAAGTAAATGTAATTCAGCAACAATAAGACCATTGCAGAAATTAGTGAACGCTGGTATATTACTAAAATTTTGTTTAAATTGTAATGTGTTAATTGGTTATAATAGAAAAATAACTGTCAAACTTGGTAACAGAGATTATGGGTAAAATCTTAAGTTGTCTCCTTTTCTAAAATTTATTTTTCAATATTTCGATTTTTCATTTCTTCAGTTTTTAGATTTTGCAGCTTTTCCATTTAAAATTGCTCGAGCTTTCAATTTCTAATTTTTGAGTTTTTCGACTGTTTAATTTTTCATTTCTTCAAATTTTCGATTTTCAGTTTCTCGTTTGGGTTTTTTATGGTTTTTGCAGTTTTTCGATTTTTCAATGTTAACAATTTTATAATTTTTTTGTTTTTTCAATTTTTCGTTTCTTCAAATTTTCGGTGTGCTATTTTTCGTTTCCATTTTTTATTTCTTTATTTAAATTTTTCGGTTTTTTAAAATTCTGATATTATAATTTTTCTTTTTTAACACGTAAAATTTTTCAATTTTGGATGTTTCGATTTGAGATTTTTCAATTTTTCGATTTTTCTTAAATCTTTAATTTTTTCAACATCTCGATTTATGGAGATTTCAATGTTTCGATTTTTCGATCGATCAATTTCCCGAATTTCCAGTTTTTCAAAATTTCGATTGAACCATTTTTTAAGTTTTTCAATTTTTCATTTGGGCCATTTCGATTTTTCCATGTTGCTATTTTTCAATTTTTCGACATTTCAGGTTTGGCATTTTTCAATCTTTCGATTTTTTAAATTTTAGATTTTTCGATTTTTTTCATTTCTCGTTTTTTTGATTTTTCAGTTTTTCGATTTTTGAATTTCCAATTAATGGACTTTTCGATTTTATAATTTTCCTCGACTTTTCCATATTTTGATTTTCCTATTTTTCGATTTTTCAGTTTTTCACTTCAATTTTTCGAATTTTCAATTTTTTGATATTTTAAATTTTCCATTTGTCGATTTTTCAATTTTTCAGTATTTCAGTTTTGGGATTTTTCGGTACATTTTTCAATTCTTCAAATTTTCGAGTTTTCAGTTCTTCGATTTTTTAATTTTTCGAATTTTTACATTTTTCTGTTTGCAATTTTTCGTTTCGGTTTTTTTTTATTTCTTTATTTTTAAAATTTTTCGGTTTTTTAAAGTGCTGATTTTATTTTTTTTTTTTACTACGTAAAATTGTTCAATTTTGTATCTTTCGATTTGAGATTTTCCAGTTTTTCAATTTATTTTTTATATGTAGTTTTAATTTTTTCAATATCTCGATTTACATATGGGGATTTCAATGTTTCGATTTTTCGGTTGATTAATTTCCCGAATTTTCAATTTTTCAAATTTCGATTCAACCGTATTTTTTTTTTTTTAATTTTAAGGTTTTCAATGTTTCAGCTTGTAATTTTTCATTTGGGCCATTTCGATTTTTCAATTTTTCGACATTTCAGTTTTGGAATTTTCCAATTTATCTGTTTTTCAATCTTTCGATTTTGTAAATTTTAGATTTTTCGATTTTTTGATTTCTCGTTTTTTTGATTTTTCAGTTTTTCGATTTTTAAATTTTTTCTTTTTTCGGAATTCCCAATTAATGGACTTTTCGGTTTTTCGATTTTTGGGATTTTTCAGTTCTATTTTTAAATTTTTCGGTTTTTTAAAGTTCTGATTTTATAATTTTTCTTCTTTACCACGTAAAATTCTTCAATTTTGGATCTTTTGATTTCAGATTTTTTAATGTTTCCATTTCCCGTTTTTTCAATTTTTCAGTATTTCAGTTTTGGGATTTTTCGGTACATTTTTCAATTTTTCGAGTTTTCAGTTCTTCGATTTTTTAATTTTTCGAAATTTTACATTTTTCTGTTTGCAGTTTTTCATTTCGGTTTTTTATCTCTTTATTTTTAAAATTTTTCGGTTTTTTAAAGTGCTGATTTTATTTTTTTTACTACGTAAAATTGTTCAATTTTGTATTTTTCGATTTGAGATTTTTCAGTTTTTCAATTTTTTTTTTAGTTTTAATTTTTTCAATATCTCGATTTACATATGGGGATTTCAATGTTTCGATTTTTCGATTGATTAATTTCCCGAATTTTCAATTTTTCAAATTTCGATTCAACCGTATTTTTTTTTTTTAATTTTAAGGTTTTCAATTTTTCAGCTTTTAATTTTTCATTTGGGCCATTTCGATTTTTCAATTTTTCGACATTTCAGTTTTGGAATTTTCCAATTTATCTGTTTTTCAATCTTTCGATTTTGTAAATTTTAGATTTTTCGATTTTTTGATTTTTCAGTTTTTCGATTTTTAAATTTTTTCTTTTTTCGGAATTCCCAATTAATGGACTTTTCGGTTTTTCGATTTTTGGGGTTTTTCAGTTCTTTGATTTTTCAATTTTTAAATTTTTCGGGTTTTTGAAGTTCTGATTTTATAATTTTTCTTTTTTACCATGTAAAATTCTTCAATTTTGGATTTTTTGGTTTCAGATTTTCCAGTTTTTCAATTATTCGTATATTTTAAATTTATCGAATTTTTAATGTTTCTATTTTCCGTTTTTTCAATTTTTCAATATCTCGATTTATAGAGATTTCAAAGTTTCGATTTTTCGATTGATCTATTTCCGGAATTTTCAATTTTTCAAAATTTTGATTTAACCATTTTTTTTTTAATTTTAAGTTTTTCAATTTTTCAGTTTTTAATTTTTCAGTCTTTAATTTTTCATTTGGGCTATTTCGATTTTTCAATGTTGCGATTTTTCAATTTTTCGGCATTTCAGTTTTGGAATTTTTCGATTTTTTAATTTCCCGTTTTTTGATTTTTCAATTGTTGGCGTTTTTCAGTTTTCCATTAGTCTGTTTTTCGAATTCCCAGTTAATGGACTTTTCGATTTTTCGATTTTCTAATTTTTCCAATTTTCAATTTTTTGATTTTCAAATTTTCGATTTCTCGATTTTTCAATTTTTCAGTATTTCACTTTTGGGATTTTTCGGTACATTTTTCAATTCTTCAATTTTTCGAGTTTTCAGTTCTTCGATTTTTTAATTTTTCGAATTTTTACATTTTTCTGTTTGCAGTTTTTCATTTCGGTTTTTTATCTCTTTATTTTTAAAATTTTTCGGTTTTTTAAAGTGCTGATTTTATTTTTTTTACTACGTAAAATTGTTCAATTTTGTATCTTTCGATTTGAAATTTTTCAGTTTTTCAATTTTTTTTTTAGTTTTAATTTTTTCAATATCTCGATTTACTTATGGGGATTTCAATGTTTCGATTTTTCGATTGATTAATTTCCCGAATTTTCAATTTTTCAAATTTCGATTCAACCGTATTTTTTTTTTTTAATTTTAAGGTTCTCAATTTTTCAGCTTTTAATTTTTCATTTGGGCCATTTCGATTTTTCAATTTTTCGACATTTCAGTTTTGGAATTTTCCAATTTATCTGTTTTTCAATCTTTCGATTTTGTAAATTTTAGATTTTTCAATTTTTTGATTTTTCAGTTTTTCGATTTTTAAATTTTTTCTTTTTTCGGAATTCCCAATTAATGGACTTTTCGGTTTTTCGATTTTTGGGATTTTTCAGTTCTTTGATTTTTCAATTTTTAAGTTTTTCGGTTTTTTAAAGTTCTGATTTTATAATTTTTCTTTTTTACCACGTAAAATTCTTCAATTTTGGATCTTTTGATTTCAGATTTTTTAATGTTTCTATTTCCCGTTTTTTAAATTTTTCAATATCTCGATTTATAGAGATTTCAAAGTTTCGATTTTTCGATTGATCATTTTCAATTTTTCAGAATTTCGATTTAAACATTTTTTTTAAATTTTAAGTTTTTCAATTTTTCGGTTTTTAATTTTTCATTTGGGCTATTTCGATTTTTCAATGTTGCGATTTTTCAATTTTTCGGCATTTCAGTTTTGGAATTTTTCGATTTTTTGATTTCCCGTTTTTTGGTTTTTCAATTGTTGGCGTTTTTCAGTTTTCCATTAGTCTATTTTTCGAATTCCCAGTTAATGGACTTTTCGATTTTTCGATTTTCTAATTTTTCGAATTTTCAATTTTTTGATTTTCAAATTTTCGATTTCTCGATTTTTCAATTTTTCAGTATTTCACTTTTGGGATTTTTCGGTACATTTTTCAATTCTTCAATTTTCGAGTTTTCAGTTCTTCGATTTTTTAATTTTTCGAATTTTTACATTTTTCTGTTTGCAGTTTTTCATTTCGGTTTTTTATCTCTTTATTTTTAAAATTTTTCGGTTTTTTAAAGTGCTGATTTTATTTTTTTTACTACGTAAAATTGTTCAATTTTGTATCTTTCGATTTGAGATTTTTCAGTTTTTCAATTTTTTTTTTTAGTTTTAATTTTTTCAATATCTCGATTTACATATGGGGATTTCAATGTTTCGATTTTTCGATTGATTAATTTCCCGAATTTTCAATTTTTCAAATTTCGATTCAACCGTATTTTTTTTTTTAATTTTAAGGTTTTCAATGTTTCAGCTTTTAATTTTTCATTTGGGCCATTTTGATTTTTCAATTTTTCGACATTTCAGTTTTGGAATTTTCCAATTTATCTGTTTTTCAATCTTTCGATTTTGTAAATTTTAGATTTTTCGATTTTTTGATTTTTCAGTTTTTCGATTTTTAAATTTTTTCTTTTTTCGGAATTCCCAATTAATGGACTTTTCGGTTTTTCGATTTTTGGGGTTTTTCAGTTCTTTGATTTTTCAATTTTTAAATTTTTCGGGTTTTTGAAGTTCTGATTTTATAATTTTTCTTTTTTACCACGTAAAATTCTTCAATTTTGGATTTTTTGATTTCAGATTTTCCAGTTTTTCAATTATTCGTATATTTTAAATTTATCTAATTTTTAATGTTTCTATTTCCCGTTTTTTCAATTTTTCAATATCTCGATTTATAGAGATTTCAAAGTTTCGATTTT